AAAATCGTCCAAAATCGCGTGACGTCATTTATGGACGGCCCCAAACGAGTCCACCCACAGCTGTGCGCGCAAAGGAATGACGGGCCCGGGAAAATCCGGGCTGCAGAGGCGCGGCGTGGCCACTGGAGGGCGCCACGGCGGAGCTCTGGGACTGAGAAGAATGCGGAGCAAAAAACTCGAACCACAATACAACCTGGACATGGGCGTGATGGGGGGGGGGGTAATCTAGGATACGGGCACATGCGCAAAATAGAATTTACCGTGGTACGAGCCCGAGCCAACTTGCCAAACCAGTCACCCTTACACGCCCTATCCACTGCACCTATCAACTAACCAACTAGGCACCACTCTTCCGCGAGCTAACAACCAGTCGAGATTTGAGGTTTTCGTGACTGCAGGGATCCATACTCTTTGGTTCTTTCGGTAAAGTCACGCGACTTTACCGAAAGAACCAGAGTACCAACAACCAGTCACTAGTGCTAGCTCTCCCACTGACTCTAACCAACAAACCACTCGTGTAACAATACTAACTCGTGCTCGCTGTGCTGGGCTGCAGGGTGCCGCAGTGATAACGCTTGTATCACACAGCAAGAATCCCTCCCTGGGTTCGATACCCGACCTGGCGCACCTTTCTGTGTGGAGTTTGTATAGTCTCCTTCGGTCTTGCGTGGGTTTCCTCCAGGTTTCTTACATTATGAGACCTCCTTTGCCAGTAACAAGATATAGGAATAGGTTTTACCCTTTTAACTGGCACAAAAACTGACACCTTTATTCAAGGCATCATGTTTGCAATAACCACAACACAAGCAGTCAAAATGCAAACAAAAAAGACAACTCTGATAATAATATGCACTGTCCTCTAAGAAAAGCCATCTCGGGTGTGGACCAATCAAATTCAAGGACAGTGCCAATATTAGTATCAGAGTTGTCTTTTTTGTTTGCATTTTGACTGCTTGTGTTGTGATTATTGCAAACATGATGCCTTGAATAAAGATGTCAGTTTTTGTGCCAGTTAAAAGGGTAAAACCTATTCCTATATTCCTCCAGGTTCTCTGATTTTCTCCCAAAAGCTAAAAAAATATATCAAATTTTGAACTTGTTTCACACCTTACGCAGCCAACCGTGCTAAGCGAGCACACATCACAATGCTAATTTGTGTGATGTTCTCTAATCTGTGTATTCCCCCTTCGTGTCCCTGAGTGTAATTTCCATGCACGCACCTCTCCACATACATTTACCCTGTGATTCTAGGCTCATGGTGAGTCTTTCAGAGTTCAGTTGCATGCGATAACCACGTGCGTGGTGGTAACCTTCCTCTAGGATGTGGTACAGCAAGTAGGTTGAGTGGCATTCCTTTGGATGCATGACTTTTCCCAATGCACTGCCTTTCCCCCCCCCCCCACAATGAAAAAATATTTCAGAAGGGAATTTTGAAGACGGCCTTCGTGATGCGCTCAACATCGTGACCATACTTCGTTTCCTATGTAGAGGAATTAATTTGACCAGGGAACTTCATATGTCTCCAAGAGGATGTTTTGATATTAGTTTGACATTCATATTTGCCATCTTCTCCATTCGTGCAATCCAAATGTAGCTTATTTCTTTATTTGCTAATTATTTTGATCAGAAACTTTGATTTAAAAAAAAAAACTTGACCGTGTTCAGCCCTTGCTTCGTCCAGCTAGTGGCTCGACAATGACTACTTCTGCGAGTGAAAATCGCGATGATAAAGTGTAAAAGCCATTCCAGCCGGTTGATTTATCCCCCCTTAATGCAGTCACGCTCAATGCAACCGCTCACAACACTCAGTAACTTGGACAATCTGACGGATGGCGCACTTTGCATGATTTACTGAACTTAAATACACATTCGCTCCAGGGCAGCAAAACGTGAATGACGACTCCGAGGCATGTACAGGGGTGAGGAGGTCAGTCCCAGTTCACGGTGCCACACTCTCATACCCATCCATCCGTCCATGCGTAAATTACATAAGTGCGCCGATCTATTCCTTGACAATAACTTATGACCGTGTCACGGTCCGGTGACATGCAGCTTCACACTGCAGCCGAGAAGGTTATTGCTGAAACATGACTGCGGGGTGTGTGTGTGTGTGTGTCTCAACATCAGCGGTAACGAGGTCTGCATCGATTTTCCCTCCCTTATTGCGATGTGAGGAATTGTCACAGTGGAGGGTTTGCAGTTTGATTCGGGGCTTTTATTCGCTTCGGAGTTGTCATTCGATTCAACAGTCAATTAAAATTATCTACATTAAAAAAATATACAACAATTTTGTGACCGTTCTGCGTGGGCAGTGAAACACAATCACAAATAACAAAAACCTGAACATTTTTTTTTCAAGGAAAACATTATCGGTCGTGTTTCAGGCAATTGCCTATTACAGACATCTCCTTTTGAGGCAGTGCTATTTTTTTCTCTTCTTCGTTTATTGTAGCGCCTCTCGTGACAGCCTGGTTCACTAATTGTGACAAATGAAAATTTATCGATTTTCTGATGCACAATTGGATGCGTGTTTTTTGAGTGTAAGAATGTATTTGAATCGATGAATGGATGTCTTGTAAGACAAATAGCAGTAACAATTGGACGTCATAATAATTCAGTCATTTTGTTGATCCAGGCAATAATAACAATGAAGCCATTCTTTAGTACGTCCCTTTAATCACATTTTGAGTATTATGATTGAAGACAGTACAGTGTGGAACAGTTTATTGAGATAAAGTGGAGCTTATAATCTGCACTTTTAACAATTGTTTTTTGTTCATAGCGGCCGTACATAAATGACGTCACACGATTTTTGACGATTTTTGACCCCCCCCCTTCGTCACGGCGTCACAAAAAGTCAGACCCCCCCTCAAATATGACGTCACAAAGCTCTGCCCCCCCCAAAAAAATGCTTCAAATCGCTTTAAACTATTGTCATTGTAGTGCGCATTTTATGTGGCGCTGCACTCTGATGTAGGAGAAAAGTTTTTTTTTTTAAGTCTATTTAATTAAGTAGAACGTGTTGTCTATATTTATTTAAAGTTGCGCATTTTTACGTGACGTCACATTTCCCAACCCCCTCCCCCTCGTCACACATCGTCACAAATGTCTGAGCCCCCCCCTAGGTGCGTGACGTCATTTATGGACGGCTCCATAGGTCTGATAATGTGTTTTAATTCTTGTAATTTGTTTAAGGTCAATGTGGAAAGGTACGTAACAAAATACCAGAGCAATCTCATTGTGTGGCTGCTTGTTGTCAAATGTGTCCAACCAGCTAACACAGAAAAGCGAATTAAAAGCTTACTTTAGCCCCCTTTTAATCAACTTTACTTAAATGTGCCTTGACGTTTTGACCAATGTATGTTGATGGCTCATGCATGTTGATGTGGTCATGTAATTAATATCAACGTGGCAATGGTGCAATCACGTAACAAATGTGATTCTCTTCCGGTAAACTAACTTTTGGCCCATGCTTTGTGAATAACAAGTAACATAATATGACTGAACAAAAAAAGTTTATGGACCGCAGTGGCAGTTGTGCACGCGCATTAAAATACTCATCACATTCATTGTTATCGCTTGCATCAGAAACATATCTAAAATTAGCTGACGTTTCAGGCACTGGCCCTTCTTCAGAGCGAAGAGAGAGAGGGGGCAGTGAGATTGATTGTCTTGTAGCTGGATATTTCGGGGCCTAGACAAAACTGGGATATTGCAAGAACGTTTACAAGTGAACACTGATAGCTGGACATTTGATAATTTTTCTCGTGAACGTAAGGAAAAAAACTCGTTTACATAAGAAAACCATATCAAGTACAACTGCGATATGCTAAAACTAAAATTATGGGTCGCTGACTAAAAAACAATGTCACACCATCGGCCCAATAACGGTATTTGGTTTGTGAGTGTCACCATCATTGACGACAACCATTCTCTACGTTCTGTACAGAACACAGGAGTATCACGAACATGGTCACTAAACTTAGAACTTAGAAAAATAAGCATAGATAGACCACACACAAACTTACGGTAACCTAGCGGTGTATAAATCACATTACAGACACGAGTGTAGATGATCTATCGCAATGCTCCTTACTGCAACTGCCTTCTGCTGGTAGATAGTCGCCCTGCGTGAGGGTGATTGTTTCCATCCATACTCGAAGGACAACCAACTAAAACACTAAAGTCAGTTCTAAAGAAATTAGTTCTCGAGTGTTGGCGTGAATACCAATACCTACGTAACTTTGTACGCTCGTGTATTTGTTGCGTAATCGAGTGCAGCAGGGGGGGGGGGGCGAAATAAAAAAACACGTGTAATTTCTTAGACGACCTTAGGCAATGGTTTTAGTGGAACGCGCTGGTTCCGTGTTGCGACGTCCAAAGGGAATTCGTTTCCGAGCAGCGCTGGCAAGCAACAGGTAGCTCCGTTTGAGGCTGGGCAAATTGGCGGTGGCGCACAACGATTCGTGAACTGCGCCCCTGAACCCAACCTACCTGAGTTTGATTCCCGGCCAATGGGTAAAACCAGTCGGCGGTCGAGCGATATCCGAGGCCGTGTATGGGTGCCTCCGCTTTGCCAACGCACACTGACCGGCGTGGTGAAGTATGGGTCAGATAACACCCCCAGCACCCTCTACAAAACCGACCAAGCCCGTCCAGGCCTTCATCCAGCAGCAGACTGACAGGGGGAGCCGAAAATAATGTTAACTCTTTGCGGATAAACTAAAAAAAGAGGGCACGTTCATGATATTTGCCAGCAAAAGTGGTGGGGGGCGTGGGTCGCGACTCACGTCCAGCGTGCAAAGTTGCACAACAACAACAAAAATAATAAAAAGGGCGTCGCGTTACGCAGTGTTTCCGAGCCCCGCGTGCGTCCATTCTGAACCGACGTCAACATTCAAATGTTCGTCGACGTCAGCTGGGCATGGGGGGGGGGGCGCGCAGGGTTGCGGAGGAGGGAAGGAGGGTTGGTGGGTGGGTGGCTTGGTGGGTGGGTGGGTGGCTTGCAGAGTTTCAAAGCCGTGAGTCGCGGCGGGCCCTGCCTCATTGCTCGATCGACCCCCGTGGAGGGGCAAGGAGAAGACGCCGCTGGCGCAGCCGCGGTCCGGGTTATTGTTTTTAGTTTTGCTCGACAGGTCAGCACGGTGAGTGTGAGTCGTCGCCGCCGCCGCCGCTGATTTTCCAATCTTTCGCCCGCGTTTCGCCGTCGAGTGTGGCGACAGCGTGGGAGCGTTTTTGTCAAATTTACCGCGGTCGTAAAGTTATTCTATGTTTTTTTAGGGCGGGTGGGGAGGGAGCAAAAGTGTTTGGATTTGGGCAGCATGAGACTGTGAAAATGTTTCGCTGTATTCCTGCTGTGGTTTTAGTTAGATTTTTGTTGGCTTGATCCTGCGATCTAACGGTGTTTTGTGTGCATGCAAAGTTGCCAAACACGATTTAACACCGGTATTTTAGGTAAATGTTTATCGAAGACGTTTGTTGTTACAGTAACCGAAAAGGAAAGGCGTGATATCGTAATCGCCACTGTTTATACACGCGCGCGTGTGCTTGCATATAAAGTATGTGGTAAATGTGTGTTTGAATGAAGCTCTGGAGCTTTGCAAGTTCCATCATAAATTCATATGAGCATAAGGAGGGCTATGCCTTAGTTTGGCTATTTGGAGTGAAGCTGACTCTGTGACAAGAGTTAATGTTATGTAATGCATTATCACCTGGGCATTCATTCTCAATAGACTTGTGTACAGAATCGTTTGACGTGGTATGATGCACACCGGCTTTGAGCGGGAGCTACCTGGATATTTGTACACCTTATTATCATTTGAGCATATATGTACACGAGTATTCGTATGCATTCAAATGGATACATAATAGTACATATAATGGAGAAAAGTATTGACCATCTCGTATTTTCTGATGACAGATGCGTTATAGCAACTGGTGGAAAATCCATTTCGGAAATTATTGAAGAACTTTACAAAAAAAGTTTTGAAGGTTAGGTTGAGCAAAACAAATGTTAAGGACAAAAATTTGTTACACAAAGGGAAATAACTGTTGGAGGCACAACGCTAGAAAAAAAAACACTGAGGGTGAGACAGAGAAATGAACCAGAGCTGGTTAATGGACTTTGAAAATGTGAATTTCATAATGAAAAACAACATACCAATTGTGCCTCAAGAGGACAGTTTAAATCAGCGCTTACCGCCTGCCATGATATATGGATTGGAAACATGGAAAATAACAAAGGCGATGGAGAAAACACTTAGCAGCGCAGAAAGTATGGAGAGATGCATGCTGGGAATTACACTGAGAAGACGGAAAGATGATTGGAAACACACACACAAATCAGAGACATCATATGTATGTTGAACTTCTTTCGCACCGTACGAAACCGACCGTGTTAATCTGTAGACTGTTAGTAATAAAAGTAAGCGGACTTGCACAGGATGCGTCACGAGAAAGAATGATGGCCGATGATCAAGACCGGTGATGGAATGGCAGCCAACGCAGGGAGCAAACTTCAGAGGAAGATCGTGGAGATGGAGCAGCGAGATGAACTCACGCACAGCAGCAGCAACAGCAGCAAACGAAAGTCAATTATGGCATTGTAAGACTGCCAGGGATGGTGATGGCATTGGCAGATCTTCATCCAGCAGCGGCTTGATCATGACTCTTGAAAGTGGCGATGATCAGTACTCTGATATACTGCATGCTATCGCTAAAGTTAAATTTTGATTTCAAGCTTTCGTGACTGCAGGGATTCATGTTCTTGGTTCTTTCGGTAAAGTCACGTAGAATGATATTATTTTATTGTTTCCCTTCTACGTGACTTTACCGAAAGAACCAAGAATATGAATATCGCTAAAGTTGTATGATTTTCGATATATACAATTAGTAGATGCATGCACACCGACTGCAGTTCGAAGCTAAGCGTACACAATTACCGTACAAAGATATTTGGATTCATTTTTAGGATGGCGTGGTGGTGCAATGCTTAGTGCACTGCGCTATGAACCTGATGACCTGAGTTCAATCTGGGCAATGGCTAACATCTAGCAATGCTAACTATGTCCTCCTTCAGAAATCTGTACTGACCAGCATGGTGAAGTATGGTCAAACAATCTCCATGACTGACGTTGCATGGGGAGACCTTCATCCTGCATTGGAGTAAAAAAAGAGGAAATATATTTTTGTTGCAATTGCATGTACTGTGTAAATAGCTGTGTGTTTAACCTCATAGTTACGTTTTGAACATTTTTAACAATTATTTAAGTTATTCCCTTGAGGGCGAATAGAAACTGCTGACATTGAAACAAAAACTATTTGAACTCTTTTTTCATTTTACCAGGTAAGGCCCACTGAGCTACATAGCTTGTTTTTTCAGAAGCGGCCAGCCGATAAGTGCTACCGAGCACAGTGGCTTATCACCACGTGGAAATGTATAGCGAGCGAATACTCAAAATACATGAGAACGGAATTCCAACATATTATTGGTTCTTTCGGTAAAGTCACGTAGAAGGGAAACAATAAAATAATAAAAAAATAAAACAATACAATTCTCACGACGTTTCGACTGCAACACAAGCAATCATCATCAGGTGCGAAAACCACAGCAAGAAAATTTGAAAAAAGTTGCTGTGGTTTTCACACCTGATGATGATTGATTGTGTTGCAGTCGAAACGTCGTGATAATTTTACTGTTTTATATTTTTATTATTTTATTGTTTCCCTTCTACGTGACTTTACCGAAAGAACCAAGAATATGAATCCCTGCAGTCACGAAAGCTTTACATCGAAATTCCAACAGTTCACGTAAAACTAGTTTTGAAACCAGTTATCCCAGTGCTTCGGTTTACGCCCACATGTACAAGTCACCCCTTCTGCCAAAGTTCGTGTTATCGCGAGGCAAAGGTGGAAAAATCTCTACTGGCATCATGAACCACGCTGCGTTTGTCTTTCCCCGACAATCTGTCTGTCGCCATTCACCTGTGAATTCTACAACGCTGGGCATGGCTGCATGGGACGCTCTCTTAGTTGACATGTGAAGAGATAGGCTCATATTCATGATCACGAATCATCAGCAATTGTCTATACACTGCTGGATGAAGGCCTACCCATGCCGTTGCCACAGTTTTGCGATGCGAAAATCCATCGCACTCCTGCAATGTAAATGCCATCTCCATGTTGGGCAACCCTTTCTCTCTCTCCCATAGCTGCCAACCTATACGGGTCACCCATATTTTTGTACAGGGAAAATTGAGTCTTCAGGACCATATGGCATACAGCCGTTTCAGTACGGGGATAATATGTTGTCTGTCTGTATTTCTCCCTTCTGATGGGACTTTGTAGGATGAACGTTGAGATTTATAAGGGCGTGACCAATAAGGTCTGCATTGGTCTGTAATATGGTAGGCACTGATAAGGGGGTTGACAGGTAAGGTGTCCTCTCCTTTGGCTAGGATTCCTATACGAATCTTGTCTCTCAACCATCATCCCGATTATGGATGTGTCGTCCTGTCCAGTAATGCCTCTTGAGAGTCAGGCCATGCTCTTTGGTTCTTTCGGTAAAGTCACGTAGGTGAAAAAAATAAATATTACATTTCCTTGCTGTGGTTGTCACTCCTGCATTTTTTGTTTATTTCACAAACTTGCCATTTAAAGCGAGGATTGTGCTTATTCGCTCAGATTTTCGGTTCGCAAATCCTGCGCTTCAGCCACCCGTAACCAAGTTGGGTTTCCAGGCGTATTGAGATAACTCTCTCAGCCTGGTTACCAATGACTGCGCAACAACTATAGTCTTCAAATTAGTTCGTCATTTCATTTGGCGATCTGAGAATGAACAAGTACATTTTTGGTGACTGCTGTGCGACAAGGGTCGTTCCCCTTGTGTGGATTGGATCGTTTGTGAAAAGAGCCTCAGAAACAGTTCTTGTGACATCACATTCCAAGGCAGTTCTCGAATGCGCGGTGATGCATTGCTCTGCAAGAGACCGGAATGGATATTTCTTAATGCAAGTGACATTTGGGCAGCAGGACCGTCGGGATAAAATTGTTCCAAATGAAAATACGAGTGACTTTCGATATATTAATTTGTGTATGGCGCTTTGTCAATCCACTGCTGGATGAAGCCCTCCCCTGCGCTGTGTTGGTAAATAGGAGTTTCTTGACCATTCTTCGTCATTCTAGTCAGTGCTCAGGACCAGTTTGGATATCACACGCCACTGGTTTTGAGCCACAGACCAGGATTAAGCTCGCGCCCCTGGGTTCAGAGCGCGAACTGCTGCGCCACCGCTCCACACCCCCTCCGATAACGATGTTAATCAAATCGATGTGAAAACTTAATTCCACGTCAAGTGCGATATTACAAACACCCAGCGGAGAACTTAACGCTAACTGGGCAACGCACGGCGCTCGCTGCCCGCTTTTACCACGAGGATCATCATTTGGGGCGCGCTGGCGTTTTGTGACGCTTGAGGCACGGCCACTGTTATTATTGACCGGCGATTGGTCGCTTTCCCCATTCCCCCCCCCCCCCATTTCTTCCACGAGACCAAGGGGAAAATCACAGAGGGCATGCGGGGAGCCAGACGTGGGCAGGCGGCAGCACGTGGTCCCAATACGCGTGGGCTGGTGGGTGGGGGGAGGCTATGCTGGTTGCGTGGCGTGCCATCTCCACCGCCCCATCTCGCCTGCTCGTCGCAGCGTGAAGGGCAGTGGGCAACCGAGCTTGTTCAATAGCCGTCCACCACGCGTGTCCGCGTGAGCGAGCAATTTAAAAAAAAGTGGAACGAGACGCGAATGCTCCCAGGGTTATTGTTACGTCCGCCGTGGATCTCGTTAATAACTTTCCATGCAAATGCCGCCACATTTGATCGTGATTAATTGATTGCCGTAGCGACACGGGAGGGCATCGTGGTGGCTTTGTGGGCCCGTGCCGGTGGCCTGGTTTGCTGCTGGAGCCGTAGTGGTGGGCGCAGGGTGGGGTGTTTCATTTAAGTCGTGGAGGGGCCCCGTAAATGCAATCAACTCGAGCCCATTGCTATCGCTCGGTCGAGCCACACTTGTTGAGACCCCAAGTGCCCTCGTCGCTCTCAAGGGTATCAAGTGTGGTGGGGGGTGCTCTTTTAGGGTCTCTTGGGGCTATCAAGTGTGGTGGGCAGACTGGTAACATCGCACTTCTGTGCGCACTCGTCATTACCATAATTTATCCTTAATATACTGTAGTAATAACAATGCCACTGCCACTAATTGTTGGTTTTATTAATGAACCTAATCGCTGACTTTTTGACAGTCGACCAATTAAAATCTGCATTAACCTTATTACTTTCTTCACCGATGCAATATGAACACATTATTTCCACTAAAAAAGGCGTACATGTACAGCCCCTTTGTCAAGCTATTGCTGGATGAAGGGCTCCCTATACTATATTGATAACGGGAGATGTTAGCCATGTCTGAGAATACAACTCTGGTTGCCAGTTCCAATTGGAACATTTTGGCACAACACCAATGGGCTATCTGCCCACGGATCGTGATGATGGTGCTAATTTCATATCAGAAACCACTATGATAAGGCTAGTCTGATGGTGTAAAAATGTAATAATAACAATTCGTTTGAGTTTTGGAGTAAATGAACAACAGAATTAGAGTGGGATATAGGAATAGGTTTTACCCTTTTAACTGGCACAAAAACTGACACCTTTATTCAAGGCATCATGTTTGCAATAACCACAACACAAGCAGTCAAAATGCAAACAAAAGAGACAACTCTCATAATAATATGCACTGTCCTTGAATTTGATTGGTCCACACCCGAGACGGCTTTTCTTAGAGCCTAGTCTTCACTGGTGTTGGACCAGAGGACGCCAAAAGGCGTACAACTCAAAAACAGCGCACTATCAGAGTATTGAGGGCTCGGGGTGAGCATTTACATATTATCAGAGTTGTCTTTTTTGTTTGCATTTTGACTGCTTGTGTTGTGGTTATTGCAAACATGATGCCTTGAATAAAGGTGTCAGTTTTTGTGCCAGTTAAAAGGGTAAAACCTATTCCTATATCTTGTTACTGGCAAAGGAGGTCTTATAATGTAAAAGAATTAGAGTGCATTTGTGTCCTGTACAATTGAAGTCAATGTCCGATGTGTGTGCACAAATAAGTTCTGATGGATACATTCATTGCACGTCTGCGAACTAGTGCCGAGCCCATTCAGGAGGCCTGCCGTATCATTTATGTGGGGTGCGCAGCTCCCAACGCACACACGCCAACCCATTGCGAACTTAGCGCCGTGTATCCACGGCACTGAGCTGATGCACGCATGGGGTGCTGCATCGATTAGCGGACACGTCAGCTCATACAAGTTAAATAAGTCATTGTCCCTGCGCTACGGACAGCCACAGCCACGGCGCAGCAACATCGAGCGCAAATATTATCTCCGTGTCGTACCCAACCAGACGCGGCTCCATAGCCGGGCCATAAAGTCCGGGAGAGAGAGAGAGAGAAAAAAAATCTATTCCCACGCACGGGGAAAAGTGTGCGCGGCTAAGTGAACTCGGCGAGCCAACCCCGTTGGAGCCGAGGGTCATGATTGACGCAGCCACGGCGAGTTACGAGCTGGCACGACCTGCCGTGCCGTAGCCCGTGCATGGAGCTCACCCGGTCGCTGCATGACAACCCTCGACGTCAAACGGCATCGTGGCTCGACCAGTTTAGGTACCGTAAGTCCGTGTCGCGTCGCCCGCGTCTCGCTGTCCAGCGGTTTTCGCGGACGGGAGCCGGCGGGCAGGCGAGGGTTGTGTTTGAGCGTTGCTATTTATTTATCTTTGCGCATTTGTGACATTCTCAACGTGCTGAAACGGCGTAATTGTTCGTATATATATTTTTTTGAATATGTGTTCCATTGTTGTTTGATTTTGGTGCCGTGAAATTTATTTTTGCCTGTGGGGTTTTGTCCATGCCAGATAGTTATTTTTGGAAAGTAAATCATACAGTAAAATGTATGTAAACACACAGTAAATACATAGTTAATGTCTGATTTATAGTGTTACTCTTTTGTTAATTGTAATAATGTTTTTGTTAATTATTGCATAATATTTTAATAAAGTGGCAGTTTTTTCATATATTTGCAAATCACGCCGCATGTATAATTCAAATATAATACGACCTTATGAATATCTAGCAATTTAAATACGATAATAATGTATATTATTTAATGCTTGCATATACTTTTATATGTGTGTGCGTGCTTTGTGCGCTGTGTGTCCATGTGTGCCGTAATAACAACAGATATATGATCGTCACCATTTGTGATGATACTCTACATACAGTATTTGTAAAGTGCATTTAGTGTACGTTTACTTATCAATATGGTATCTACTACAGTTTATAAACTGCCGAGCATTAACACATTATATACCAGATTGACTCCAATAACAAACCTCTACGAAGCAAATTAAGATAGCGATCTGACATTTACTCCGATAGGCTTAATGCATTTATATTTACCCAAGTGCCAGAAATGTCGTGCGCTCCGGTGGCTGTAAGCTGTGAGCTGTTTTGTCGATTTGGTGAACACTAAAAAATCCTGAAAGCGTTGTTGCTTCTCGTTCAATAAAAAAAAAACTGTATCGGGTAACTTGGGCACACAAAATAAGCCTCGAATGAGGATAAAATCCAATGTGGATCTATAACATGTCTCAACGCGACCACGTATCAAGATTCCGTACATGCAGAGTTAAGTGAGGCGCATGCCCTGCAATCGAGCACTTTGGAGGTGAGGATTGGTGGATCAGACAAATTCACAAAGCTTCCTACTTGTGAGCATCAAGGCAGCCATCCCCCGGCTTGCCAGAGTATGATAGCAGTACAGCAAGGGGATACATTCCCATCTGTGTCCCCTGTGCACGGGACTTGAGTATTTCCCTCTCTCGCATGCGTGGGGTTTCTCCAGGTGCTCTAGTTTCCTACCACATATAAACACCCATTCATGGAGTTTACTAAACATCCAAATATAGGGCCACAGAGCTTGGACAATAGTTGTTCACCTCTCCGCTTATCGCTTGGCTGTGGTTTCCTGCAACGATAAATCATGTTCTCTCCTTGACAGCAAACGAAGACTGTGCACGTTACACATTCTAAAATATGAACTATTAAAACATATCAATGATCGTATTGGTACCGGTCTATGTATGTTGAACTTACACCGGAGATGCTGTGTGGTGATTTTTCATTTCTAAAAGGTGGAATTGTGCCATTGTACATGCCATCTCTGGTCTCTATGGCTGTCGGGCGGTGTGGTTAACCGCATTCCCACCGGTCATCAACCCCCCCCCCCCGGCTCCCCACCCCCGGCTATCGGCGCCTTAAATCATTCTCATCCCTCCTCACAGAATGGAGGACGAGGCAGTGGTCGACCGTGGATACGTCTACCAGAAGCACAAGTGTGACGATGAGGAGGTGGAAGGTAGGCTTGGGCCACTTGGGGGAGGGGAGCAGACCGAGGTGTATAATGAGAGCGCTGTCCACTCGATTCTCCCACACCTCTACTCCCTTTAGCCAAGCAAGCCTAGTCATGTTTGTGCAAGCTGGCAAGCCAGCCTATTAAGCGAGTCTCCGAGTGCCCATTGGTTGGTAAGCCGTGTTGGTATCGGCGAACTACGTGTTTAGGTTCGTAGCAATTGAATTAAGGATTTTTTTGTAGTTTTCCCTCCAGCATGTGAATGGTTCTTAGTCCAATGGATAGAGAGATGCATCTGCAGATAGAATATTTCCTGGGAATGGCAAAAAGTACGTAGTTATTTTGCTCCCTTAATAAATGAGTGCACACATTCGCAAAGAAACATTGGAACATTCAGAAACATTGAGTGGCACGCATCTCCATGTTCTACCCTGATCCATTCTACCCTGATCCCCTATATCTTTGTGGGGACCATTCTATCCATATGATAACCAAGGTTGACTTCTCACAAGGTGGTACTCTGTTATTTTTTTTATTAACCCCACGCAGATGATACGTCTTCGTGGACCCTAGACTTCATTGTGAGCTAATAAATAAACAAATCTAAAAAAAAATCACAAAGCACTGAACAATTACGCAGCAGTATTACGGCCAAACGAGATGTAGTCCGGGAGCGTACAGATAGGAGCGAGACGTGTGGGAGCCATGACAAACAACAGACAAAATATGAGCGTTGAGGCACGCTTTGAAAATATCAACAACAGAGGCTGAGTCATGGATAGGGATAGGGAGTGCATTCCATAAGAGCCAGGCCCCAGAATGCACAGTCACCGTTAGATCGAAGACGTGCCCTCGGGATGCAGAGAATGCCGTGATCTGAGGAGCGTCGGTTGCGTGATGTTTGGCCGAGGGTTCAATAGGTCACGGGTGTAGGTTGGTGCGATCCCTCTTAAAGCTTCAAAGGTTCACACTAGAATGTTGACGTTGATTCCGTGCCTTACCGGGAGCCAGTGCAAGGAGGTCAGGACTGGGAATACGTGTTCAGCAGGAGCTGTTCTCGATAGAACTCGGGGCTGCTGCATTGTGAGCACACTGTGATCGGTTAAGGACCCTTGCTGGCAGGCGTGACAGGAGGGCATTACAATAGTCGACCGGAGAGACGGCGAATGCATGAATCAACGTCTCTGCTGGGAACTCGGCCACAGCACCATTTGACGTCGTAAGATGTTGTTAGCAGGCTTTTAATTTTTCAATTCATTTTTGTTCAGGATTTCTGTAAAAAAAAAAAAAAAAATGTAGTCATCGCACATCAAGCTTCGTCAGATCTTCAAGTGAGCGATGTCAAAAGAGACGATACGTGTTAATTTATCTATGTTACTTGGTGCAAAATAACAGGACCTGACAGCATTACGAATTCCTCGACCATGCTTTACCCCACACTTAGAATACAAAATGCAAGCACAAATCCAAGACTAAAGTAGTAGTGAATTATCATGCCGTGGTCATACAGTATACGCATTCTGTTTTAATTGTGCAATGCCAATTGTTAGAAACTAATTAATGGATTATTATAAAACAAACAGTATCAGATTGGAGGAAATGGTGATTTATGGTAGCGGTCAGGATGCCGCTGATGATGATGATGATACTGAAGATGCCAGTGTAACGTAAACCATGGATATGCCAGCCAGGGGCATACATTCAATAATGATGATGGTATGGACAATGAGATGGATGATGCGAAAATTGATGATGATGGTGCTTAAGGCAGTGATGGTCACGATGACGATTTGGATGCAGAGGTCGACTACATATATACCTACTAAAAGTGAAATAATGTTAATTATATTAAAGATGATCGTGATGGTGGTGTTAACAACGATGATGTTGTATGTATGTATGTAGAACTTTTTTCGCACCATACATAGCCAACTGCGCTAATCGCAGGCGCGGTCGGAGTATGATGTTGACAACACTGACAATGGTGCTATCAAGCCAGTGGTGGCATCAAAGGCAGCGATGATGTTCATCATGATCATATGCAAATAATTATAATAACAACAATAACGACGGTGTCGCTTCTCCCCCCCTCCCCCCGCCTCCCCCCCATTCGCCCGCACGCTGGCGCCCGCAGGCCACCATGCCATCTACATCGGCGTGCACGTCCCCCGCGGACACCGGCGCAAGCGGAGGCACCGGCGGCGCGGGGCCTCGTCGGGCCGCTCGCGGGACGGGCGGCCGCGCGCGGGCTCCGCGTCCGAGGGGTCGGACGCGGAGCCCGCGTCGAGCGGGGGCGGTGCCGGCAGCGGCGGCGTCGGCAACGGGGAGTGCGTGAAGAACTTCAACTCCTCCGAGGACTTGCTGCGGGCCAGTGAGTAGATCCGGGCGGAAGGAGCCGCTCGCGCTCGGCGAGATGTCAACTGCCTCGCCGGGTGTACGGGAGGTCGTGGGTTCGATCCCCGTCGGTGACGGTGCCTGTTGCGTATTTGCATGTTCTCCGTCTCTCTCTCTCTCTCTCGCCGTGGTAGTGTGGTTTTTTTCTCCGGGTCCTCCGGTTGTTTCTCTCCGCACTTAGAATCAACGTGCGTTTAGAGTATTTGGCTGCTATAAATGTCCACGTGATAAGGACATTTGTTGGGCTGTCACTTGTGCCCAAGTCGCTTCTGAAAAAAAGATACATAGCTCAGTGGGCCTTAACTGGTTAAATAGTTTTGCTTTATCGTTTAAATGGAGCCCTACCGGTCAGAGGCATTCAGAGATTGAATAGCGAGGGGCTAAATCTGCGGTCGGCCTGGATCTTGGTGCAAGGAATTAATTGAAATTCCCTGGCCAATTCCTCTCTCATCATAGCCCAGCGCCTGGGGTCCTCCATCTCAGGAACCCTGCGACATTATAGCTATGCCAATTTGGTGCGATGCATTTGTGAGCATGTAGACATCATGAGTTTGCTGACTCAGTCCCTTGCAGTGTTAATTTAACATCAAATTTTCCTCCACTTGCAGTGAGCGATTAATACGAGTGGATGACGATGACACCAACACACATGACAACATTATCTCGTGTGACTGAAGATGGTGTAAGTGTTATAAAAAATACATTATTATTATTGAGCTCACTGATTGTACGTCTTCACATTGGGCATTGGGCGTTGGGGGGAATTGTCACTCCCCTCACACGATACTTAATAACCAAGGAAGTGGAATAGATTAGACTCGACAGAGTGACTCGACGCGATCCCAAGACTTGACCGCACAATTCCACGATGATTGTCGTCAACTAGCCTCACGCGGATTAAAAAAAAAAACGATGTTAAAGAAAAAAACGCCGACTGAAATTGGCAGTGGCCACGTGACAAGCGGAGGTAAGCCGCAGTCCCACCGGGGCGTCCATTGCCCCCCTCGCCCGGCAGGCACGACCTCGCTGGCCGTCTCTCCAGCGGCCGAGCGCGTCCGCTACATCCTGGGGGACGAGGAGGACGTCCGCACCCCGCAGCTCTTCACCGAGCTCGACGAGCTGGCCATGGACGGAGACGAGATGGAGTGGAAGGAGACCGCCAGGTCCTCACCGCCCCTCACACACACACAGAACAACGACAACAACGACAACAACACGTGGCACTCCTCTCACTTCTCCACACAACAGGGTGCGGGATCAACGTCGTCGCTCATTGGTTGCCGACTAGGCGAATGGGTTGATCCTGAAAATCATGACATGACCCCGAGGTCACAATTGGGTTGAACCTGTGAAAACTTACAAAAAACACTAAACAAAAACAACCTCCACAAAAATATACCTTTCCTGTTTTTGACATTTGCAAAAACAGACATTAATTGTTTTCTAGCTCTTCTTCTTGCGTCCTGCTGCCACAGTGACGTGTTTATCCAGTGCCGGGCACCGTTTGCGTGGCCACTGACCCACGAGCCCCCCTCTCAGCAGCAGCAGCAGCGCCTTTTGGTTGACCATCGAATAAAGATGGTGGTCACGGCATCACGCAGCGCTTTCAGATGCGCTTCTGCGTCCGTCTGGAACGCTCTTCCGATATTAGGAAGCCACTGGAGCTATGCACTTTTAAATCTGCTTGATTGAAACCTCATTCCTTTCGAACTGCTGTTTGTGTTTAGTCTGTTGCCCTTCCCCCGCACCTCCGCTGAGCGCGGTTGGCTACGTCCCGTGCAAAAGAAGTTCAACGCACACGCTCGCAACGAGAGGTCCACGATCTCGGCTCACGCACGGTCTCGCCGTTGTCGCCGCTTGCCCCCGCAGGTGGCTGAAGTTCGAGGAGAAGGTGGAGGAAGGCGGCGAGCGCTGGAGCAAGCCCCACGTGGCCACCTTGTCGCTGCACAGCCTCTTTGAGCTGCGCACATGCCTGCAGTCCGGCACGGTGCTGCTCGACCTGGAGGCCTACAGCCTCCCGCAAATCATCGGTCCGTCCACCTCGTTAATTACCTCGCCATTCGTTACCCAGGGATTTCTCTGACTTGCACTTGCAGCATAGTAGGTCAATATATATTTACCCCGTACGCAGGTGTAAGAACCCATTGTGGTGTGCTGGGTTATTAAATCAAATGTGCAAAGCAAGAGTAATGCCGTCGTGTGTAATGATTCGCACACCGGACTTGCAGTACAGAGGTCGCCGGTAGAATTATCGCAACAATTTGCAACAATTTCCAAGTTTCTTAAATTTTACCTGCCTGTGTCCACTCAGCAGTATAAATGTTCACACCACGGTAGGGTCAATCGGCAGGTCAAGTGTGTGTGGGTGTGGAAGGTAAAGTGTGGCTACTCCTACATTTTCCAAAAATGTCTGGCCATCGTGGAAGAGTAGCCTAAGATACCGTCAAGATAATAGAAGCGCATTAAAGCACCCTTTGCTGTGGAGGACCTTCTGCCGGCAGTGGCACGAGCAAGAGGTTCTCGGGCCGCACCTCTCTCACCATCCTCACCTTTTAACCTCGGACCTCGTTAACGATCGTCCGTGTCCGAATGCCTCTGCTGTGGCGGCGTTGCAGAGTGCATCACTGAGCGGCAGATTGTGGACGGCCTGCTGCGGCCTGATCAGCGTGATCAGGTCACCTTCACCTTGCTGCGCCGCCACCGCCACCAGACCAAGAAGTCGAACCTCCGCTCACTGGCCGACATCGGCAAGTCCGTGTCGGGATCAAGTAAGAGAGATGCACCACTGGGGCAGGGGGCGGGGGGGCGGCGGGGCGGTGGGCTGGCAGGCGCTCGCACAAATTTGCCAGGGCCGCCAAACGGAGCGGCGCTTCTGTCGTGCACTCGGGGGAATTGCCAATCGGAGGTGCGGGTTGGGTAACTGGCTGAACGAGATTTTCTCCATGATGAATAAACATTTAATTGATCTGAATTGAAACGGCAAAAGAAGTTCGGGAGACATAGAATAGATATCGACAACGATGATGTGGGAGCAACAAATACAGAAGACTAAATAGTTAAGTTCAAATTGCTATAACTTTTAAATTTATGCTCCCATAAATGTAATTCTATTGGCCGGATTTTCTTTAAATTCTAGAGAATAAAGAAGAAACCTCACAATGCATATTGTCTTTTGCATTTTATTTCGCAAGCAATGCCGATTACTTGCAGTGCTTCGAGTACAAGATTGTGAGAAGAGCATACAAATTACAGCTGTCAGGTTCCTCGACTGATAATCATAAAAACAATGCCCCTTATCCAGGGAATCCTCAATCAGTGTCAAGACTGAGCTCCGGGAAGATCCTGCTTTGCGATGCTTGGCATATGAGGTTGCAAACACTCCAAGCTCCGCATACATATATTTAAGAGTTTCTTGCCGTATTTTCATCTTTTGACCATCTTGTAGCCCGATCCTACGGCATTCGGTTTTGCAGGCAATTTCCTATTCCCGCACTAACCAGGCTTAGCACTGCTTAGCTTCCTAGCACTGAAGAGATGTTGCTCCCACATCCTCGTTGTCGATATCTGTCCTCGAGACAGCCTGATCCCTTCACCTGATGAAGGCCGCTTGTGTTGTGGCCGAAACGTCGTGATTTTTTGTTGTTTTATTTTTTACCTACGTGACTTTACCGAATAGAACCAAAGAGTATGATGTGGTCACAGTTTGTCTTGGCTTTAAGAACCACCACTGCTAGGCCAGATCATGCGGTAGTCAATCTCAAAGCAGTTGGGCGAGCTTGGGAATGGAATGAGATCAGCACTCTTTGGGGTGATGAGGTCATAGGCGTGAAATTCTACGAGAGACTTTCACACAAACTTTAGGAAGTCCCCGTGGTATTTTCCTTTGTTCGTATCAAAAGTTAGCCTGGGCACGGCAGCAGGGTTGGCAGACCTTTGTAAAAAGCTAAACAACTGAAGAAATAAAAAAATAGCAATTTATCGTGGAAAAGTTTTCCTGCAAGGCCACGTGAAAATAGATGGCAGCCTTCATAATGGTTTCGGTAAATCGTTTCCTATTCAATGCGCGGGCACGAACCCCTCCCTCACCGATGGAGCCTTTTTTTCCAGTCCAAATTTAAACTTTCCCTTCCATTGCGCACGCGTCCGGCTCACCGCACAGCCAACGCTGAGCTCATGTGACCAATTGATTTGTATTTGGGAGCGTGCGGGTCGATGCTGGGGTGATTTGTACCCTTGCGAATTATTCGGGGTTTTTTTTGCTACCAGAACCCAGAAGCCACGTGGAGCAATGGTGCCCCGGGCCCCATTCATAAACCTGCTTATGTTTGCATGAGCGGGCAAAGGGGTTTTGCTGCCGTAACGTTGGAGACCATGCGGGCTGAGCTCGTTTATTTTGGCGGCATAAACATTTGTCGGCCCGGTGCATGCATATCTGCCCTTCGCTGTGGTAACCGAGAAAGAGGGTACAGTGGATTTGTTCATGGGCAAACATTTTTGAGCCTTTCACTTAGCGTTTATGAAATATAAATACAAGCAGAACTCTCGTCATGCATCTCCTAGTAGAAATAAAGGCCGCTTGGCCCTTGAAAAATAATATGAAAGTGCGGCATTTGTTTAAGCAAAGCGAACTCTGGACCTGCTTCCACCCTGTGGGTCTCGTTGGCAATCAGGCGCATTAAACGAATGCTGCTGGATTACAAGTTGTTATTTGTATGAGCACTCCATATAAACTGTGATGTATACACCATCATGTGACTGCTGCTCCTGGAGGTATAATAACAACAATAAATAATACGTATAATTAAACAAAAATGCAAGGCTGCAATTTGCCAGGAGTGTAAAGCAGAAAAGATTACCATATTTGTCATTAATACTTATAGCAGAAAAATATATATATAACAGGCTGATGTCTTCGGAAATACCCATTCTTTCAGCAGTATTCATAATGAATTTGTATTTTGACACTCACAGCACGCCATTCAAACATTTGTGGAAATTTCGTACAGTAGGAAGTTTCAAAAAGCAGATGCATGTCGTGTGACACTGGATGTATTGTACATCCCATTTTCATCGCCTTTTAATCGATATATTCACGACGTCCTTTATTCGTTCGTGAGAGGCAAGCACGTGTGATTTTCTAAAACTTTTACCTTCTCTCTGTTTACTTTCAATTCCCAACTCTCACGTGCCGCATTCTATACCTGTCCACATCGCATCACGACTCATTCACATCACGCGCAATGCCGCACCGCGCAAACCGCGCAAACCACGCCGTCCCATCGCACGCGCCGCTTGCGCTCTCAAACTCAACTTGACTTTCATCATTCGCTCACTGGCCTAAATATGCACTCGCACTTTTGCATTCTTACCAAATGCACACGCACACGCACACAATTACCACAATGCACACGCACGCACGCACACACACATCCGGCAACACTCACATGTGCATACATTGCCATGTTAGGCCGAGGCCAAGGTCCCATGCCTGGGACTAATTTCCATCGCTCCACTGAAGATGTCAGGCTGCGACACAGCCAAAGTCTTGGGCGCTTGAGTAAGTGTACAAACTCCACCGCTGCCTCTTGCTGCCCTGCTCACCTCCGCGTAACCCCCTCACCTTCTTCCCACCACTTCCTGCACGAGCCACCCCCCAACCACCTCTGCCCCCACCACCTTGTGCCTACACTCGCCAGCCTCTCCCCAGGCACGCACGAGCTGCCCCGTGCACGGGTACCGCCGCCGCGCCCCGACCCCGTCCACTTCCCTCCCGGGCTCGATGCAGCGCCCCCACGCTCGCCCGCTTTCTCATTCTCCCTCGCTCGCGTTCCTCTTCCGTTTCCTGGGCTGCTCCTGTTCAAACGGCGTGCGAACCGATGCCCTAAACCGTGCCAGAGCTTGTGAGCCGTGTTGGTGCGTGTGCCGCGAGAGCGCTGGGTGGTGACCACAAAGCCCCGTACGCCTTGCACTGTCGCGCTTCTCTCCCGCAGACAGCCCGGGTCTCTCCCGGAGGAGCCTGGGTATTGGGATCGGAAGTCTCAATGACATCTCGGACATGCCGGGAAAGGAGCAGGTAAAAGCTCCTCTCTTATGCCCCACGAGCTCGCTGGATTGACGGTGTCCGTGGTAGTTGCGAAGTGGCACGGCAACTCGGGTTGTCACCTGTCCTGGATTCCCAGAATCACCTTCGTTTTGAGGTCCTCGAAATCTTCTCGGGTGTTTTTTGTCAGTTGAGTGATGATACATCACTCAAGAAAATGCACTTGTTGTTTTTTTCTTCCCCCCTATCTTCCCACGATGTCCTATTTCTTTGTACCTCAAAGGTCAATGCTGTGACGGTCACCCACAACATGGTATGAAATATATACCAGTGCGCGGTGGCCCTGTAGTGTAGCGATGGGGCTAAGACTGCATCAGAACACTGAGCCAGCACTGCTCATATCTTGGGTTCAGATCTAGCCTTCGGCCACTTGTGATTTAAAATGAGTTATCGAATGTTGAGAGTTGATCGTTCTCAGCCGGGTCACCAGTGACTGCACACAAAAGAGAACAGATATAAATGTAGTAGTGTTCACTTGGTTTGGCAAATTGCAGTGCTGATTGCGGTGTTGCAATAGGTTAGCTTTCATTGCCATGCGAAGAGCACCTCTATAGCAGGGTTAGTGATAAAGTTAAGCGCCTCTTCGTGTGGATGAGAGGCAACTGAACGGAAACCATAAGTAGTCCACCTATCATGTCGTCTGCCAACACGGGGTGATCCTAACACCGATTACTGTGAATGGATCTTTCTTCAGCTCATGACAACAAACTCATAGCCATATTGGAATATAATTGCATGAACCTAAACAAAGAACATTCATCCAAATATTGAAATCTTCATTGGTGACTCGTGGAGCAAATGCCATAACTGTTGCTTTTAGTTTGCTATTGAAAACCTTTGGGTGACATTCGGTAAGAAAATAAGATTAGGCACACACTCGAATGCAAATATATTGCCCAAACCTGAATCTATAGCCAGGGTCAGCACTTGACGTCTGTTTTACTTTACTCTCTTTTTTTCAGTCTTTCAACTTTGGAAACAAGTGACCAACCTTTGATATATTTGTTTTGCGAGCAAGCGCGCTAATGGGCGTTCCTTGCCCTTAGCCCGCAAACGAGTCAATAATTATTCTATAGGAGTATGAAAATTATGCTCGCCAGTCTAGCAAGGGCCCTTTGTGACCCTGCGTACCCTTGAATTATTGGCACGCGTCGCTAAAACACGTGCTCGCGCGCGCACACGCGCACAGTGGCGCCCGCTCAATTCGCTGAAAAGAAAACTTCTACTAATTTCGCCGCTTATTAATTACATGACGTATTGAGAGAGAGAGAGAGAGAAAAAAAATTCTCCCGAGCAAAAAAAGACGTCGAGGCACGGATCATTTCGCTTTGGAGGCCACGTTGTTGTCGGACGCGGTTCGCGCTGCCCGACAGTTTCCACCGGTGATGCCGGGTTGGTACGATGATGACACCGCGGTGCTTGGCTCCCACACATCGCACTGCGCATTGCCCGGCTATTGATTTGTGATGCCGGCAATTAATGTCACTGGAAACCATTTGACTGAACAAATATCGTTTTGCAATTAATTAAAACGGCAAATTTTTTAATTAAATTATCAGTGCCAACAAAAGCATGGGTGTGCATCTGTGCGTGCGTGCGTCTGCGGGGGAGGGGAGGTGAGTGGTGGTGTAGTGGGTAGCGCTACGCTGCGCTTCGAACCCGGCTACCCGAGTTCGATTCCCGCTCACGGCCAACACCGCCAGTGACGGTTATCTGACCCGGTCCAGCGCTTCCCCTAGGCCGACTCAGCCTCGAATGAGTACCTGGTGCGGTGTGTAAACATCACCACCGGGGAGATAAAGGCGGCCGGGCGTGGTGTTGGCCACCCACCCCCTCGTGTGCCGTGCCGGCCTTCGTAAGTGCTCGCTAACGGCACTTGCCCCAACAGTCTGCTCGGGCTATGCGTAAGATCTTTGTGTGCGTGCGCACGTACGCTGCCAAGGGGGTAGGTGCAGCGGGTTAGCACGCCGCAACGTTCAGTTTTAATTCCCGAGCCTTGCACGCCACGCGTGACAATCCGGCAAGGATGTGGCGAGTGCTTAAGCGACGCCCCCCCCCTTCTACCACTGCCTGCTCCTCCGCAGATGACCAACAAGTTCATGAAGAAGATCCCGCGCGATGCGGAGGCCAGCAACGTGCTGGTGGGGGAGCTCGAACTGCTGGAGCGGCCCCTGGTGGCCTTTGTGAGGCTGCAGCAAGCGGTGATGCTGGGCAGCCTCACAGAGGTGCCCGTGCCCACAAGGTGAGCAGCGGCGGATTATCCTCGTGGCACAAGTAGCTCCAAATGCTGCGGGCCCCGCACTTTCAAGGGCCCCGCGCTAAATGCTTTAAAGCTCCGGTTCAGTGATTCTGCACTCGCTCTATTACTATAGTACTATACTGCCTTCAACTTTTATGAACGACTGGGTGTTTAAGGTTAGCGATTTGTCGTATTATCTGGCTGTAGAGCAAATGAAAAAAATACAATTACTTTACTGCGCAGGTAAAAATTTGTGTTTTAATATTTAAGTGTTTTATTTATTTAGGGCCCCTTTATAACAACATATGCTACAGGCCCCGCGCCAGCTTCATCCGGCACTGACGTTGAGCAGCGCCGATGATGCAACACACTTGTGGCCCACGCGGCCACAAGTGTTGTTATTATTATTAATAACAGTAGTGATTATGATAGTTTTTATTACTGATAGTTGTTGCTATTCACTGCCAGCCATTATTATGCATGAAGGCCTTGCCCAGTCCATCTCTAAATGATCCTGCGACGTAATAATCCGCAAGTTGAATCACAGTGATACAAAATCTAATTTAACAAGTAAGATTTTTATTTTTTTGTTGAGGGTTTTATTTCAGATTGCTCTATTGGCATCACGGTGGTAAATTTACCATTTTTGAGCTCACACAGTGAGTAGTGAACCCAGTTGAATCACGGGTGGACTAAAACCCAGATTCAAACCCCGGATCTCAGCAGTGTCATCCCACTGTGCTACCTCCTGAGCCACCAGGCTGCATTCTTAAAAAGCAGAGAGTAAAATGTTTCACTCCACAGCTGAGAAGTGAAACGAACAAAGGGATTGGCATGATTCAGTGGGCATCATATATACTGGTGCATCAGTCGAGGCTACTTCATAATTCTTCAACAGGAACACTTGGACCACTGAGAAGTGTAATGGGAACACTCAATGCATGGTGATGTTTAACACAGGCGCTGTAAACACAGTGTGATGCAACATGGGAACAGTTACACAATTATATAATTCCATTGGTCCATCTCTCTATGTCGTCTACATTATGGCCTGTGGGACATTTGTGCTGATAGAAGCTACCTATGATGGTATTGGTCACGAAAGCCTACGTGTTAAACAGAAGCTACCTAAATGCAATGTTGTCTTTTGTTATTTTCCAGAATTAATGGTTCGCTCCTGATTTGTTTGATCTCTGTTTAATCTCAGGTGGGAACATGGGATTTTAATTCCCAATTTCAGCAGTGCTGGCTCGGTTTGTTTGCTTAGCCACACAGCCACTTATAGTGCAGCGATGGTTTAATGTGCCTGACTCTGCTCATGAGCCCCAGGGAGTCAAATCCGGTGCAGAGTTTGCCTGTCCAAACAATTCCTGTTGGAAAGCATTTGTCCAGTAGATCTGTAGGCTAATGGACACATTTGTTTATGCTGAGAGATGAACTCCCAACCTAACCCTAAACATTTTCCATTGCCTGTGACCAAATCATCAAGAATGCCATGCGCCCAAACTCGTCAGATCACGGAAGCTAAGCAAAGTTGTTGATCCTGGGCAGTGGTCACATGGGCGAACACCACACATAACCCTGTGGTGGAGACTGCAAGACTGTGTGGTGGACAATCAGAGGGATCGTGCAGCATATTCCATTCTGGTACTGTACTTCTATGCTGCCACACCTATGATCCTCACTATTGCTAAGCTGCACTGACCAGCATGCCTATGAAATGCAGCCAGATAACCTGCAGGGTGTGGAGGAGGGTCCTCATCCAGCAGTGGCATGTCAAAGGGGCTGAACGTGCACACACATGTATAACGTACATGTACACAACATGTACATTGTACAAACATGCACATTGTTCGCGAGCCACAATCGTCCACCACCACAGCACAAAGTGAGCCCTGTTACAGCTTGCAGTGCAGCTGTTTTAGATTCACCAAATGAAACGCAAGCAAGCGCCCATTCATAAACGCCACTGTTACGTTGGCGGACACATTAAAGCTTCAACACGGAGAACATAACGAAGCAATTATTCATCCTGCACTGGTGTTTGTATTTACCCCCCTTAGACATTTTGTTCCCCTCGCCTGCAATCTAACACCATGCTGTGCATGCATTTTGATATTGTGATAGAACATGTCTGTTTATTTGCGTGGCAGCGAGCGTTGCGCTGCGACGCGGAATTCGATCGTGCTCTCTGGCTCTCCGCGGTGTGCATTATTATTTACGCTACATTATCCTCGTGTCTGAATTACGTTCAAATTAAAGAGGATTTAGGGAAAGACATGCGTTGAAGCCAGCCAAGGTTGGAGTTACGTGGTCACATGCTGGGCAGTGCCAGCTTTCACAACAACAAAAAGGCCATTGTGATTTGTACTGTCGACCAAATAAATGAATTTAAAAGGCACAAAGAACGTGGCATGCGAGAACGAGAGCTTTGATACGTGTGGGATATTCCGAGCTGCTGCCAATTGCACCCGGCACTTGATCCTGCGAGTTCTGCCAATGCACAGAATGGGGAGAAGACTGAGTAATGCATCCGGAATTAAATGGATCATCATCGTCATCATCAACCGTTGTCTATCCACTGATGGAAGATGGGCTCCACACGCCATCGCCATCCCTCAGTGGAGTGCTGCTACCATCCATCTCACTCTCCCGCACATAAGCCGATGCCATCGCTACGTCTGGCCAGTGATCGCCATCTCGGATGCATTCTCTCCTAATGCTGCCATTCTGTCACCAGTCTTGTCCATTGGCTATCAGCCCATCGAGCAATATGTCCTGCTTTTACTTTCTGAATTGCTTGGCTAAAATGTTGCATTTGTGGCCAGGTCGCTTCTGAAAACGAGCTATATAGCTCAGTGGGCTTTACCTGATAAAATAACGAATATTTAAATAGTTTAGTGCTACATGGCTATTGCAGAGTATTCCACAATATAATGTTCTTGGCATTCCATTATCTTGTTTAAAATGGTAATACGCAAGGTTGGAGTCTCATGCACATAAAAAATATGTTATTACTCAACATTATTTGCCACCGCCACCAGTTCCAATAACAGCATTTCATTCGGGCCGAAATACTTTTTTTTTACAATCGGGCGGTCATGTAACACATTGAGGCCGCAGTTGGGATGCCACTCGGAGGCTTTTGCGCGTGCTGCTGGTGTACAACACGCGACCCTTTCGTCTCCGGAGGAGAGCCAAGAACAAACTTAATCCGTGGGCGGGGTGACAGGGATGTGTTTGTAAAGCTCCACCGGTGCTACGAGATGGGCGAGCGCAGTGAGTGCACCGCGCTGCACTCCCTGGATCGCCACTCTTGTCCCCCCTCCCCCCCGAGAGAGGGAAGATCACGACTCGACCCTCCGCCTCGCCCACATCCGTCTTACAAACGCGCAATGCGATACGTATGCAACGCGATGCGTAGCGTGGTATGTAACGCGTTTTTGTAACGATCGCGGATTCATTGCAGCTGGGTCTGTCCCGAGTTGGTCGACGTGGAAAATATTTTCAATGCCCGGCACGCCACATCCAGTACGCCGCCTCTCACTGTGGCTCTGGCCGCTGAATCAGGCGCCTGCTCCAGTGCACCGGCGTCCCAGGAAATATTAAGCAGGAAATTAAGCCCACTGGTGAATGATATCGCTTTGGTTCTTTCGGCAAAGTCACGTAGAAAATAAAATCAAATAATAATAGAATACGACGTTTCGGTTGCAACACAAGCAACCATCATCAACATGACAACATGCATGTGTGTCTGCCTGTTGTTTCTGTGTCTGTGTTTCCTTGCTGTGTGTCTCTCTGCATGTGTGTCTGCCTGTTGTTTCCGTGTCTGTGTTTCCTTGGTGTGTGTCTCTCTCTCTGCATGTGTCTGCCTGTTGTTTCCGTGTCTGTGTTTCCTTGGTGTGTGTCGCTCTCTCTGCATGTGTGTCTTTGTGTGTGTCTCTCTCTGCATGTGTGTCTGCCTGTTGTTTCCGTGTCTGTGTTTCCTTGGTGTGTGTCGCTCTCTCTGCATGTGTGTCTGCCTGTTGTTTCCGTGTCTGTGTTTCCTTGGTGTGTCTCTCTCTGCATGTGTGTCTGCCTGTTGTTTCCGTGTCTGTTTCCTTGGTGTGTGTCGCTCTCTCTGCATGTGTGTCTTTGTGTGTGTCTCTCTCTGCATGTGTGTCTGCCTGTTGTTTCCGTGTCTGTGTTTCCTTGGTGTGTGTCGCTCTCTCTGCATGTGTGTTCTTTGTGTGTGTCTCTCTCTGCATGTGTGTCTGCCTGTTGTTTCCGTGTCTGTGTTTCCTTGGTGTGTGTCGCTCTCTCTGCATGTGTGTCTTTGTGTGTGTCTCTCTCTGCATGTGTGTCTGCCTGTTGTTTCCGTGTCTGTGTTTCCTTGGTGTGTGTCGCTCTCTCTGCATGTGTGTCTTTGTGTGTGTCTCTCTCTGCATGTGTGTCTGCCTGTTGTTTCCGTGTCTGTGTTTCCTTGGTGTGTGTCGCTCTCTCTGCATGTGTGTCTGCCTGTTGTTTCCGTGTCTGTGTTTCCTTGGTGTGTCTCTCTCTGCATGTGTGTCTGCCTGTTGTTTCCGTGTCTGTTTCCTTGGTGTGTGTCGCTCTCTCTGCATGTGTGTCTTTGTGTGTGTCTCTCTCTGCATGTGTGTCTGCCTGTTGTTTCCGTGTCTGTGTTTCCTTGGTGTGTGTCGCTCTCTCTGCATGTGTGTCTTTGTGTGTGTCTCTCTCTGCATGTGTGTCTGCCTGTTGTTTCCGTGTCTGTGTTTCCTTGGTGTGTGTCGCTCTCTCTGCATGTGTGTCTTTGTGTGTGTCTCTCTCTGCATGTGTGTCTGCCTGTTGTTTCCGTGTCTGTGTTTCCTTGGTGTGTGTCGCTCTCTCTGCATGTGTGTCTTTGTGTGTGTCTCTCTGCATGTGTGTCTGCCTGTTGTTTCCGTGTCTGTGTTTCCTTGGTGTGTGTCGCTCTCTCTGCATGTGTCTTTGTGTGTGTCTCTCTCTCTGCATGTGTGTCTGCCTGTTTCCGTGTCTGTGTTTCCTTGGTGTGTGTCTCTCTCTCTGCATGTGTGTCTGCCTGTTGTTTCCGTGTCTGTGTTTCCTTGCTGTGTGTCTCTCTCTCTGCATGTGTGTCTGCCTGTTTCTGTGTCTGTGTTTTATAATTCAGTCTTACCTGATGATGGTTGCTTGTGTTGCAACCGAAACGTCGTATTCTATTATTATTTGATTTTATTTTCTACGTGACTTTACCGAAATAACCAAAGAGTAATTTCTGCAGTCACGAAAGCTTCGAATCTCGTTTAAATGATGTCCATTTAATTATTTATTTATGATCGTGTGACTGCACTGTGTATGCTCTCGAGTACATGCTCCCCACCATCAACCCAACCAGCACTGACCGGAGTTGTGAAGTATGGTCACAAATAACCCCCGCCCGCATGACCCACATGGCATGGGGAAGCCATCACCCAGCAGTGGACACTGTCAATCCATCCGCACTTTAAACTTTTTACGTAATTTATATTTTTGAAGACCCAGAGTGCATTATTTACACACAACCATTGTTTAGTCATGCTTCTCCTTAAAAACAAAACATACGCGTAAAAAAAACACATTGCCCTGGAGGAAATCCTTTGAATGCATTCGAGTGCCGTGACTTGCAGAATACTTTGACCTCGTGCCGCTGGAGCTCCTCTCCGATGCACGGTCCCCCTGTAAGGGGCTTTTGTTGGGTTTCACCAACTCAACTTCACCACATCTCAACTTAACTACGTACAAAGCGCTTTCCACAAACGAACCACAATACCTTGCTGATGTCGTCAAGGAAAATAAACCATCATCACGCAAATTTCGGTCATCTTCGCAGCGGCGGCTTTTGGCTGACCGCCGAACAAAGACGGCCACCGCATCGCTGCGCTTTCGGATGCGCTTCTGCGGCCGCCTGGAACGCTCTTCCTTCCGATATTAAGAAGCCACTGGAGCTATGCACTTTTAAATTATCTAGATTGAAAACTCATTTCTTTAGAACTGCTTTTTGTATTTAGTTTGTTGTCCTTCCCCCGCACGTCTGATTAGCGCGGTTGGCTACGTACGGTGCGAAAGAAGCTCAACATACATCCACCTCCTCCAGCTTGCCCAGGCTACAGTTTCCTAACCCTCTCTTCCCTCTCCCCATCCATGCTTCTCAGGCAACCGATTGCACACGGTTTCACTTGCTGTCCTGAGACTCTTCCGAGATGTCAGCATGGAAAAGTAGGCTAAATTATCTTATAGAGCTCCCTCGAGTGGAGGCCCTTCCACCAGCTCTGGCATGAGCAACCAATTTGCAGGACAGCACCTTCGCTTTCTTTCGTGACCGCCGATGCCAACCACGGTCGGCTAATGGCTTTTCTCCGGTGTAAGCGGTGCGGATTAGAGAGTGAGCCAGGCATATTTCGTCGTCCTTCTTTCCATTTCTTCCCCTGCCAGGTTTCTGTTCATCTTGCTCGGGCCAAAGGGCAAGGCTAAGTCGTACCACGAGATCGGGAGAGCTATCGCGACGCTGATGTCCGACGAGGTGAGCCTGGCCCCCGGTGATGGAACAGAGAACGGCGTTTTGACACGGCCATGAATGCAGCGAGTTCCTCCAGGCCAGCGTTCGCCAAAGTCCAGTCTTCGTGACCCACCACAGTGCACCTACATACGATCGCGAATCTCGTCTGTACCTCACTGCGCATGCCTGATGATTGCTAAGCCAGAGGATCCTAATCGAGGAAATGTATTTGATTTGGATCATCGGGCCCTTCCTGCTCAAATATATAAAATCGATCTCAATCGGCGGTGCCAGGTGGGTTGTACGGTGGGGGAGGAGGGGGGGCAGGGATCATTGCGTGCCGATCGCCGGCGCCGTCTCACGCCGCCGTTGCCTCCCGCCAGGTGTTCCACGACGTGGCGTACAAGGCACGCGACCGGGAGGACCTCATCGCCGGCATCGACGAGTTCCTGGACGAGGTGATCGTGCTCCCGCCCGGAGAGTGGGACCCCAACATTCGCATCGAGCCCCCAAAGACGCTGCCCTCACCCGAAAAAAGGTGGGCGCCTCACGGAGGAGGTTGGATGATGGCGTCCGCCACTTATGGGTGCTGTAGTTATTTTTTTTTGGGGGGGGGGGGGTGGCGCTCGGCCCCCTCTTTCTGCGTTCGATTACTTCGCTTGACCGTTGTAACACCACCGCCACCCGTGTCCGATGCCAACTGGCGCTCCGACGTGCGCGTTGCTTGCATGGTATCATTTTTTTGTTAACTATATCATTAAAAGTAGACAACAGCCATATTGGGACTCTACGAGGTTCCGAGTTTTCGACAACGATTTTCACCATCGTCTCCCCGAAGCCAACATGGGCTGCGTGCCAATAGCAAAGGTGTTTTTTTGCATATCGTAATTTTCGGAAGCTGGCTATTAACCGCTCGGATCAAAGACAATGCACGAGCGTTTGCACATTACGCGGCGCTTTTCGCCGATTGTTTTATTTTTCCATCTGGCTTAGACGTCACATGGTGGCTTATTTCTCTCGCTGATCGCAGCCCCGAGTTATGAACGCAGTCGGGGCGACCTCTGGAATTCAATGTCAATTTTTTTTCAGTGTTTACGGTCTGTTGGATGTGGGGTTTTTTTTTCATTTACCTTCAATCACCCACTTTTCAAGCCTTCTTATATTTTTTTCTATCAAGCTCTCGCATAATTTCCTGCAGTTATTTTATTTTTGGGTCTTAAAATGACTGTTCAAGTTCATTAAACAATTGGAGGTATCTATCGGAAGCACAGTAATTGAAAAGCAAAAAGAACCCACGTGAGAGTATGTACCTACCTAAAGCAGCTGTTGAAGGTGAACCAGGTTCCAAGTGAGGAAAATAAAGAGGTGACCAACAGCAGGTTGTAGTGCTTTGGGAAAACTGAACTTGATGAGAGAACACGAGAAGCAATCTAAAAGTGCACATTGCCTGTATTACGCATGGTTCAGACATGGACACTGACAGAGGAAATGGAAAACAATCTAAAAGTGTGATAATGAAATTGAAGAGGTGTACGCTTGGATTTACACTGATACCGTAGATGGAAAGAGGAACACTTGGGTCAGAGACCATTTACAAGGTACAGACATCGCATCGACTGTTAACCCTTTCTCTTTCAAGATGTCTGCAAGTTGCAGGGTGTGTCCCGGTCACCGCTGAATCTAGGAACGCGCCAGCGGTTCACATTAATTTTATTTAGAGAGGCATAGCGCCGTTTTCTTAAAGACTTGCCGCAGAGAATTGTAGCGAAACGACCGCACTGTACGTAAGCTGGCGCCAAAATGTGCCACACGCCCTCCCGCATGGCCTTGTGGGGGCCTCGGTACATCTTCAGACCTGAAGACGTACTGATGAAGTTAATTGATTTTAGTTTCTCTTCTCGATTACGTTCCGATGACATACAACATACATCATCGGATTGGAATCGGAAGAACAGATGACATACACGTACGTCGTCAGAATGGAAAAGGGTTCAGAAGGAGCAAGTAGGCTTGGGGAGAATAGATCGATAGGAGGGATGATGGCCCGTGGTGGAGACTAACGGTGGAGAGACCGCCAACGGGGGGAAAGTCGTCGGCAACGCCGGAGAGAATGCATGCGCAAGGTTTACATCTGCTCCTCTTTAAAAAATGTAACGAGTAAGCGACCGCGTTGGTTTCCACGCAGGAAGTCGCACTTCTCGGCCATGGAGCCGGGAGCCAATGGGGACGCTCCGCAGGAGGGCGGCGATGGGGGTGGCGGCGATGGAGGTGGCGGTGGCCACGGCACCGGGGAGGAGCTGCAGCGCACGGGACGGTAACACCACTCCATCGTCACCATTGATACCATGACGCAAAGATCATCACAATTAACATCATCATCAGCATCATCATTGTCTTGGTCATCGTCATAGCATTATTACATCACCATCATTATCACTGCATAAGTACAATTATAATTGTCAGCACCATTGCCACTCTATTATCTGTGACATCATCAAACATATCATCACCTTCATTGTTATATAGGAATCTTCTTCAGCCACTAATTATACTCATCGTCGTCACTACCGCTTGTACTTACATATTATATCATGTTTACTGCTGTTTGAGAGCATCGCCAATATGCATAATGCATCTGCCAGCATAACAAAAAAACTGTAACTTTGACCAAGAGTCGTTTTGTTGTTTAGCAAGCTTACATCCGAGGGGCAGGGGCATTCAAAACCATTTCAGAGACGCAAATCGAGCTCCATCTTTTGAGCAGCCGCACGCACACCAACATGCTCATGCAAAGAAAGACAAAGGTCCCCCACTTTAGCTAAAACAGACTTTTTGGGGCAAGTGCTGTTAGCGAGCACCTACGAAGAAGGCCAGCACGGTACACGAGGGGGTGTCGGTGACCAGAACAACACCCGAACGCATTTGTTTCCTGAGTTGTGTCGTTTAGTCGTGTATATGCATCACACGTTTTCACATATACACACATTTGCCTATTAAACAAACCGCTGTACAAACATCCGTTAACACGTCTTGCCCATGTGCCCTCTACAGGCTGTTCGGTGGCCTGTTCAAGGACATCAAGAGGAAGCTGCCATTCTTCTGCAGCGATATCTACGACGCGCTGAGCATCCAGTCGCTCTCGGCCACCCTCTTCATCTACTTGGCCACCATCACCAACGCCATCACGTTTGGCGGGTTGCTGGGGGATGCCACGGACAACATGCAGGCAAGAGCTCCTGCTAACGCAACACCAGCCAAACCCTTCTCTAGTGGCCCCGTTCCCATGACCCACGGGAAGTGAGTTGGCTCGGTCCGTAATCCGGACCAAGGGCACCTGCCCAGATTCTCCATAGCATCCTTTGCGGACCAAGCCAGCCGGGCCACGTGGCTTGCTGTAAAGCGGGCCACGTGGTTCATTGTCCTCGGGGAGCTACACTCTTTGGAGAGGGCCGCCCTCGGATAACAGTCATGACGATGAGGGAGTCAACATATAAGATGGATGTACACTCAAAGTGAACTTTCACTTAAGTCAACCTCAGAGCTACGCTTTTTGGATTTATGTTTGTCTAGCGCAACCTAACCCAAGCGTACGTGATCTAAGACTTTGTGAGATTTTGCTGAAAATAATAAAATGTAAACGTTTGTTCTGTACCGACCAGGAATGCACGTAGTAAATGCGAATTATTGAGGCAAACGCATTTCCCAAAGGTCAGAGGCTGCGTAATGTGTTGGATAATTCGATTTTTGCTCGCCACTCCCACTCTGGGCATGCGCTGCGCAAAAGCAACAACAGCCACCAGCATTGCGCAATTCGAAAGGCGGCATGACAATACAGCCAATGTCACGGTGCTTTTGTGGCAGGAGACAGGAGGATGGAGCGAATGGCTCGAACAGTTAGACAAAGTTGATGCTATTAACAAAGTTGGCTACGTACGGTGCGAAAGAAGTTCAACATAAATACATTATACCATCACCCGTTGATGTGTGTTTGCTCGGGTTGTACCAAGTATTGTCTGGCACGATGTCGGACGTTTCGCTCGACGTCCTGGAAGCTTTTAGAAACATGCGCTTAGAGCATTTGGCTGCTCTAAATTCCCACACGATAAGCCACTTCGTTGAGCTATCATTTACGTCCAGGTCACTTCTGAAAAAGAGCTACATAGCTCAGTGGGCCTTAGCTGGTCAAATAAACATAAATAGGAGTAGTAGTTCCACAGAAACTGAATGACTCCGTTCAGTTCCAACAGTACCAGCACATGGAGCGAAACGTCGGACACCGTGCTGAACAACACGGGCTACGATCTGATAACACATCGGAGAGCCATACAGCACAACCGTGAATATCCACGCGATGTTTTGTGTGTTGGCCGCAGATACAAGTTTATTTCTGGATCCATTCTTTTGAACAAGCCTGACTGTCTCCGTGTTACCCATTAGATGAAAGGGTCTTAACATTTGCACATTATCTTTGCTTTGATATGATAACAGGAAGAGAATGCCTGCTTAATGCTTTGCACACTGACCTACACTTTCAATATTAAACAATCTGATTCACGCTCATGTAATTAAATAGTGGCTGACCTATCTCTGACCTCCAATAATAAATATATCCTACTTAATGAATCGCTTTGGATAATGTTGGAAATAAAATTCCCTTTAATTAAGTCAGAGTGTGTCCCGTAACAGTATTTTATATTATAATAAGAATAAATGACAGCCCTTTGTCCGCTGCTGGTTGCAGGCGTGCCTTGCCGTCATGGGGGTTGTTTGATCACCTCGCTGGTCAGTGTGGGACGGTGCAGTCACGGACACCAGGACTGGTTCAGTTATCACTCGTCGCTCATGTGAGCCATGGCCGGGAATCAAACTCAGGTTACCAGGTTCTGAGTGCAGTGGTTGGCACACTGCACTAAGAATCTGGTGACCTGAGGGGTTTTTTTTCATTCCCCCCCAAATGTAGAGTTCGTTATGAACCGGTTTGAATTACACTACCGTAGCGTTTCACTGTTCAGCTCATTCAGTGCTTATCTACGGATCAGCATTTAACTTTTTTCGTCAATTACTGTGTTTGCCAATTCTGTGTCGACTCGACAAATGACATCCGAGTGTGTCCTTACTGCGTGTTACATTAATCTCAATTATCAGCAAGCTTTGAGATGGACAGCAAATCCACAACAGCCCGTGCGATGGCAAATACGTTTTCAAAAGCACTTTCTCAAAACAGCAATTGACCACCTCCCAATATTTGCTTGTCCTGTGCTGGCCTGTAACTCTAAGAAGCACGTTCAATATTGATCAAGCGTACACCCAAAGAGTCAACAGCGGCAAGAGAGCGGTTATATTAATTACAGCAATAACCGCCGTGCCCCAGGGTAATGTGACAATCCGGCTCACTCCCTTGAAACTGACCCCCATGGAACACCGCGTCCCCCCCCACACCCCGCTCCCCCCCACCGTGAGTCGACAATAATTACGGCAGTGATTGCAGGCGCCCCTCTCTGAAGGGATACGGGCTCTCTCGCCCACAGTTTAAATAGAGGCTGCTACAGTAATACTACTCACTACTCCGGGAGATGCTGTGGTGCCATGGTGAGCACATTCTCGCGGTTGCCCAGTTTAATGGCCATCTCCTTGGGCAGCAGTTGAAGCAACGGTGTACATTTATAAAATTTCCATCACGCCCCCACCACCACACCTCTGTCCCACCATGGAGTATAAATAGTTCAAACTAAAGGTGGTCAATCGGTAGGTCGCATATGGTGGGGTAAAGTGTGGGTACGCCCACCCTCTTCCAACAAGCCTGACTAACATGGGACATTGGACCCAAATGGCTCTTTCTGCCAGCAGTGACGAGAGCAATTGCATGCCTGCACCTTTACCTTTTTTTAGCTCACCACCCATCCACCTCCCCTCTTCACCTGTGGTGGTGGCAGCTCATTGGGAACCCAAACCAGACAATTATTTTGTGTACACCACATTACTGCAAACGTTATTTCCCGGATAAGCTGTGTAACTTAATTGCATCACAGTTACATGAAAACTAAAGTTCCTCGATGAATTTAAAGAAAGATATATTCAGCAACTTTATTAATGTTGAGGTTTTTTTTCATTTGTCTACGAATCTGAGTTTTTTTTGTTGCGATGATATTGGGTTAAACCTTACTTGTTTCATGAACACGAAGCAGGCCTTTTGCTTCGTTTGCTTGCGCCTTATGCTACCACCGCTGTTCACCTGCAGGGAGAAGAGTGAACATACCGGGGACAGGAATGATCACCTGGTCCATTGACGGCACAATATCCGCTCTTGCCACAGCACTTGTGCGACTGTACACACACGGAGGGGGGGGGGTGGGAGCTTGTGTTTGGCTGTCTCTGAGTATGCACATTCATATTTTTCTGAATATCCCACCTGATGACGGAGGCTTGTGTTGCTTCCGAAACATCGTGATTTGATTAACTTTATTTTTTATTTTACCTACGTGACTTTACCGAAAGAACCAAAGAGTATGGATCATTGCAATCACAAAAACTTCAACTCTACATTGCAAATTCACCCTGCCATGCAAAGACGCTCACCGACGAAGGTGGAACTTGACAGTTCGTGCGTTAATAAGATTAATTTCCCCAAATTGTAACGGCTGCGAGGGTGACAAGGATGTAGCGCGTTTATTGCGCGTGAGAGCTGGGAATAAGTGTTTGCAAGAACGCTGCTCGTTCAGTTGAAGGAAAACTTAAATGCTGACGAAAGTAGTTTGCGTCGCAGATGTGTACCTTACAGTGAGTCTCTGCAAAGTTTTTACGTCTAGGCTGTTGCAGTTTAGTAAAAATATAACTGGGATGGCTCTTTGCACTTCTTTTTGAAGCTGATAGAAATTCCAATTGCCTGGGATGCTGCTGTTTGTCAAGGCTTTATATTCTTCCATTCCCCTCTTTATGGAGGGCACACAGTTTATCTCTTTGTCTGGAACTGTTTTGCTGCACAGCTCCAAACCCGAATGTGGTTGTAAAACTATTTATTTAAAATTGTGATTGAGCTGTAGGTCAGAAGTACATTGCTATCAATGTACTTTGGCTTTGCCTGCAATGCATTGTGGTTGTTTCCCATGATGCTGTGCAGCATTAGAACATATAAGCTTTCAATATATAAGCTGTATACAACGGTATAATCTAATATTAAATCATTACAATTGCCAGTTTGAGTTAGGTAAATAAAACTAAACAAGCACACACACACATTTGCTACAGTGAAGTTGTTATTGTATGTATGTATGTTGAACTTGAGTAGCCAACCATGCTAATCGGTGGTACAGGGGTAGGACAACAAACTGAACACAAAATTACTTCTCAGGAAATTAGTTTTCAATTGATATTTAAAATTGCATAGCTCCAGTGGCTTTCTAATTTTGCATGAGGCTCGTCCTTCTAAAACTCCACGTGCCTCTCATGGCGTTGTCGACACAGATGATACGAAGATTTGAAAGCCCCAGGCATTCACCAGCATCTCGGCAGTGATCATTTCCAACGAATCTGTGTTTCGCGCTGTTGAATATCGCTTAAGCTTTTCGCGATTTGGAAAACGTCATGCATAGAATTAATTATGCTCCCAACATTTCAACCACCGAGTTCAAAATGCTGAACTCTTCTTGGTGGTTCCGAGAAAGTCGTCCCAACTCGGGAGGGGTCAAGGGGCCTTCCGTTGGGATGCTCCCTGTTTCTGGGACTCTGTTCCAAGTCGCATCAGGAATGCTGGCATGATCAAATCTTTTAGATCGAACTTAAAACGCATATTTGTTCGAGTTAGCATATCTTGGGGGCTGGATTGATCAGGCGAGGGCTTTCACGAGATCGTGTGTGTGCTTAACATCAAGTGACCGGGAAGGGGGTTTGCTCTGCACGAACATGAAATCAAATGACATTGCATTGGGTTTTATTTGTTGTGCTCGTGTCTTATTTTCCCAGGGCGTGCTGGAGAGCTTCTTGGGCACGGCCCTGTCTGGCGCTGTGTTCTGTTTGTTCGCCGGGCAGCCGCTCATCATCCTGAGCAGCACGGGACCCGTGCTGGTGTTTGAGAGACTCCTCTTTAACTTCAGCAAGTGAGCGGTTGTTGCATGCACGTGAGCGCTCACGCGTCCCGGCCACAGCTGGCATCGGTAGCGGGTAGCTCTGGGTCTCCCTTAGGTCGACTAAGCTTTGAATGGTTAGTAGATGGTGTGTTGTGCGTAAACATCAGCACTGGTGAGACAAAGGTGGCCAGACATGGAGCTGGCCAGATCTCTCCCTCATGTACCTTTTCAGCTGTATTAGGTGCTTGGTTTGAATTGTCCCAACAGTCTATGCAGACTGTACATGAAAACGTAGTCTTTTGTTTTATGAGTTTTTTTGTTTCCAGCCTGCACACTTTTTTATCTACGTGATGAGTTATTTTAAACTCGGGTGAATTGGTCATATCTCTCTCTCTCTCTTTAAAGGGCAATCATCAGACCAGAGCATACAAATGTCCATTTCAATATCAGACAAATCAGCCGACGTTCCTCTTCAGACGTGTGCAAGAAAAATAACTTTAACGGGCACAATATTTCATCGGCACCTATTTGGGGATTGTTTTGTTCTTTCATCCCTGTGCATCCAGGGAGAACGACTTTGACTATCTGGAGTTCCGGCTCTGGATAGGCCTGTGGTCGGCCTTCATGAGCCTCATTCTGGTGGCGACGGACGCCTCCTACCTGGTGCAGTACTTCACCCGCTTCACCGAGGAGGGCTTCTCCGCCCTCATCAGCTTCATCTTCATCTACGACGCCATCAAGAAGATGCTCGGCCTCTTCAATTACTACCCCATCAACCTGGACTACAAGCCCGACTACATCACACTCTACAGCTGCACCTGCCAGGCGCCGGACCCAGGTAGGCGCTGCCGTGCCACTCGCACGTGTGCCCGCGTTGCTCGTCGCTGACTCTTACCTTTCAGCGGAGATACGGAGGTCGCCGACTCAATACGATTCAATCCGATTCGATTGCAACGACAATGTGTTATTTTTTTTGTTAGATCCGCTCCACACTTCCTCCTGGCCACCCAGCGGTGTGAACGGCGGCGACACCAGGGTTAGTCCATCGGCAGGTCGCGTGTGTTGGGAGTAAACAGTGTGAGCACCTCGCACCGCTTTCAAGACATCTGGCCAGCGTGGAAAGATTAGGCCAAAGTACTCTCTGGAAGAACTCTCTAGACATCGCTCGAGTGCAAGCTCTTCCACCAGCAGTGGCGTGAACAAGACATTGCAGGGCCGCACCTTTGCTGTTTAACTTCACCTGTCAGTCACCCCGCAGAAACTTTATCCGCATCTGCCGGGGCACCGCATCCACAGTTGTAATCCCCTCGCTACGGATGTGGCTACGAGTCACATGCCACCTCCCGGTCTACCGGCGACCTGGAAGATGTAAAAATGTTCAGTGAGAATTGACCGGCGATCAGTGGCGTTGTGTTGGGGCTCTCTCTGGAGGGCGAAGTGGGGAGGTGGTGATGCTCACTCTGCACAGGGAGACGCTCTCCACTCGACAGTATCTGCCCAGATGATTATTTTTGTTTCACTGTTTGTAAATCATTAGATAAAAATATAAAAAAACAAATTATCTCATGTTATAGATGTGCCTGAGTGGATGTGTAGGTTTGTGCACTTTTTCTAATTTTGGGGCTTATCTTTTATTAATAGTTTTTATTTATTTAAAATAATAATTTTGGTTTGGAATAAAAGTGCAAATCTGCTACATTTGACCTTTGCTATAACAATTCAAGACACGGATACATTCTCACTCAGGAAGAGAAACTTAAATCTCAAATATGACATTTTACCTATGAGGGCCTATGAGGGCTGTTATAAAATTTCAGTTTTAATGATAAAAATAAGCATTCCTAGAGATAACCTGTCTGTTTATATTTATATCCGGACCGATTGTACCTTGCAAAAATCCGCATCCAGCTTGTGTCACATTGCTTCCTCTTTTTTTACTCGAGCGTGCTTTTGAAAACTTCAACAAATTATTGCATTCCAAATCATACATTTGACACGATCAAATATTCATTCCACTCTTGTACCATCAATCTCAACTTGCAATTCTTTATTGCCAACGTGTTACGCGAGAGCGCTTGCGCCATCCTGGCCAGTGTATTTATTTTGCGCGTAGCTTCATTTGTTTCCAAACTCGCGTAACTCTGCCCCCATCCGTTGGGCGTCCTTGTAGAGATACGAAGCCGGCCATGGTTTCGTGGCGGCAGGAGCAAGGCGTGCAGACGTGCCAAGCAGCCGCCACATTTGCGTATGCAAGCTGCCGGCGGCCCGTTGAGGCGGAAGCGCACACGACTCTTTAAGGACTGCTGCTTCGTGGCGCGTCATCTAATCAGAACCACCGTCACGTATATTCACGTGCATTGCGGCCTCTTGAAATATTGAGCTTTTTGTTTGACCAAGTTCGAAAAAAAATTGCTTGCCGACGGCTCGGGGTAGACGGTGCGTCGTTCCCGCTTTGGCGTTCGTGTTCTCTCACCGAAGTTCATCCGTGCTCTCAACTCTCACGCAATGCTTTCTCTCTTTCTTCTCTTTGCCCCGTCCACCTTGCGTGAACATGCGCTGCTGTGCACCACGAGTGAGTACGTGCCTTTGTCTCTCGTCCGCGTGAAGCCCATGCAGAGTAGCTCAAGCATACCCGCCACGCAATGCCCCTCTCTCCCGTTGCCATCCAGGGTTGCCTGCTAGCATGGCGATGTGAACAGGCATCTCGGACAGACTGTAATAATTTGAAATTCAGTTTTTTGTCAAATATACCTAAAAATAATCTTTAGACTTTATTTTAATTCCGTCCCTAGAGGAGAACAATCTGCTTGAGTTAACATTTCCAAAACTTCTTGCTGCAGCTGAGAGTAAAGTGCACGAAGTTTAATTCGGTGCTTGAGATGCAGAAGCCACCATTGAGCCTGCATCCTGAGACCTAGTACATCGAGTGCTTATGTTGGTCCTTAGAGCATTCTCTGTTGGATGCTTTACATTCTGAGCTGCATGTATTGAGTTGGAGTATTTCCATTTACAACTCAATTTGTTTGAACATACCACGTGTGTGCAGTGTTATGCTTCCTCCTATATAAAATTGCTATGCGTTCTATGATGTTATAATCGCTGCTAAGCAGGTATGGGCCTAGGTAGCACTTGGATGGGTGATCACCATTCATAAAGCACGTTGTTGTCGCCTGCAGCTGCAGAGCTACGCGGTGAGCAGTAGTGGGCAGTGCAGCAAAATCCCAAGTTTTACCACGTTTGTATCCTTTCCCTGTCCATGCTCCCCGCCTTCACCAACTTGCCAAGACCACCTTGGTGAAGGAGGGTCAAACGACTGCCGTGACCCACAGAGCGTGGAGAAGCTCTAATCCAGCAGTGGATTGACAAAAGGGCTGTACATGTCTTACGTTATTATGTAACGTTCTGGTGTGCTCATTAGGCCACGAACAATTTGTGTGTTTAAAACTGTTAAGAAAAGCCTGCCGCCGTTATGTTGCATCGTGTCTCATACCTCCCCCCCCCCTCCTCTCCTTCGCAGTCAACTATTTTGTGAATGGTACGCTAACAGTGGCAACCACCCTGGGCCCTAACGACACCATTTTCTCTCTGGTACGCCCGTCGTGCGCGCGTTGCGCACGCCACACCACACCTCCTTCGCCGATCTCGGCTTCGCACGCGTTCCGTCACGAGTACAGCTGGCACCCCAGGGCAGGGGGTTCGGGGGGGGGGTGTTGGATCCGCTCTGTTGTTGGGTGCCACGGTGGCGAGATGTTAACTACCTCACCCGGTATACAGGAGTTCATGAGTTCGATACCGACTTTGACACGTGTACTTTTGGAGTTTGCATGTCTCTCTCTCCCCGTCGTCGCGTGAATTTCTCTCTCGGTCCTCCGGTTTTTCCCTCCACATTTATAAGCATGCGTTTAGAGTATTTGGCTGATAAACAATTCTACATGATAAGCCACTTTGTTGAGCTATAATTTGTGGTCAGGTCGCTTCTGAAAAAGAGTTATATAGCTCAGTGGGGTCTTATCTGGTCAAATATAAATAGTTTAATAGTTTAAGTTTTGTAAAAAAAAATAGCTTTTCATTGTCCTATTTAGGTGGCGTTAGATAACAGGTGTGGCATGTGGGCCACGACAGCTGTGGCGGATTTATTTCGGTAAGGTTTTGTAACGATTAAGGTTTGTAGAGTTTACAAAATCATAACCAGCTCCAGAAATGGCATTTTACTGTCCCGGCCATGCAAAGACAGCAAAAAAATGGACAGATATAAACGCGTGGGATTGCGATTCAACATTGGCGTTAACCTACGGGTGCACGCAAAGGGCTAGATGCAGGGTTAATGCTTGAGATAATTGTGGCACTAAATTGCGGTCGTTAAGATTAGGGCTTCGATGTGAAAATTGTGCTGAATCGAAAGGGCACTGATAGCCAATGGCTTTGCGTAATTTTTCCCCCCCGTGTGAGAATGCTGCACTGCAGCAAAATGCGAGATCACAGCCCTGAATTGCTGATGCTGCTGCTGCAGTGAGTGCAGCTCTTGCTTCAGCGCTTTAAGTGCAAGGCGCAACGCTGCCAACACTGGCAACAGCAGAAACGGCAGTAAAAACGTTCGTTATGGCCCACCGATTAAATAAACGGCCACATTTTCCAAAACGAGCACTCTCATCTCTCGGCCCATTTGGCCGTGGCACTGGCGTTGCCTCCCTGACACTTGCCACGTGTTTAAAATTTTCAACTCTGTTGATAATGCATCAGTGCTGCTCCAGTGTAAGTCGGCTACCCAACTGCGACATATCTTCTAGCCAAGAGGAAGCGTAAAGAAACAACGCATGCCACCCAGTAGGAAGACTCGGTGAACCACACTCAGTCAATCGGCTGGGTGGTTTGTTAAAGTGTGGCTACTTCCTCCTCTTCCAACACATGTGGCCAGCGGGGAAGAGTCGACCAAATATCATGGAACGCTCTCCCTTCCGATATGCGGAAGCCACTGGAGCTATGCACTTTTAAATCTAGATTGAAAACTCATTGCTTTTTAAACAGCTGTTTGTGTTTAGTTCGCTGTCCTTTCCCCGCTCCTTCGATTAGCGCGGTTGAATACGTACGATGCAAATGACGTTCAACAGATATAAATCTAGAGCTCGCTTCTGTCAGCAGTGGCATGAGCAAGCAATTTCAGCGCTGCACTTCTACCTTTGCATGTTAATTGTGTGCGGCATTGTAAGTAGTAAGTAAATAAGCTCGCAACGCTGGTGCAGCGTAGTTCACTATGTCCTTCATACTGCAGGGAGAATTTAACAGTTATAAATATAGTACAATTATTAACGTTGTTCCAATGTTGGTTATGTTCAGACATTCCCTTCACGCAGTACTTTCTTTGCATCATCAGCAAGTAGCTATATTATTAATGGCAGACAAATGTGATTAAATGTACTTCTTGAAAGCAATTAAGCATTAACATGCTCTGTGCGAGGAACAGTGATGTAAGTTTTCGTGCGATGCGTGCGTAAAACAAAGATGGTACAATGAGGATTATGCATCTAATTTTGCAGTTGTTACATTAAAAAAGAGGCCTAAATTAACACCACAATTAGTAACGCTTTGTTTCCACCAACAGGGACCCTGGATCTCCGTGTGCATAATTATTGATTTAGTCATTTCACCCAACATTTATGAATATTTATTTGCTCATTTGCACATGTATCCATTCATTACGGAATGGGGAAAAAAGCTCAACACTGCTGTCATTAACGCTGCCTTATACAATCGAGGTGACAAGGTGGCTCAGAGGGTCAGAGCATTGAGCCACCACAGCTGAGATCCTGGATTCACATTCGAGTTGCATCCATCTGTGATCAACTTGGTTTCTCAGGTATTGTTCATGGGTAATCTCTACCCGTTATGCACAAATATAGCCGTGCAAAAAAAACATCATATTAAATTTGCCTTTTAGCAGAATTGGATAAATTCCAGGACAGAAATAAAAAAGTATCAGTTTAACTGGATTCCGACCAATATTTCTCCGTAAGTAAAGCCTGTGGGAAGATGCTGCTGTGCCAGAGTGTGTGGGCAACCGAGGTCAATTTGAAGGGATCGCAGAATTAGCTCATCTCATTTGAGATGCGATGCTCCATGTGAGATCCAAGTGGATATGGCATCTCGTGACATTATGTCCATAGCACGTTTAGAAACACATCGCAGTAACAAAACATTGTTTTATAACAGATTTGTTTTAAATATAAATTGATAGTTTTAGGCCACGATTCATAGCAGAGAGAGCTCTGGAGTCAGCTCCAAAAACACAAGCATTACGAGTGATGTACAAATGCGTTCACAAGGCAGTGTCATTGGTGATAGTTGAGCCTTTTTCTGCATTCACGTGTAGACCACTGCACCAGGTCGGTCACTTGGGGTTGATCCATTCACTGAGCGGGCTCTCACGCTTACGTTTCCGCGACGTGCAACGCGCTACGCTCATTATTTCGCATCCAATTCATTTCCAAACATTCTCTCCCCGACGGTTTCCGACTTCCCCGCATTCTCGCGCGCGTGCACCTTCACCCCAAGCCGGACCTGGGCAATGCGACAGGGCCCGACTGGTCGGCGCTCAGCAAGAAGGAGTGCTCCAAGTACGGCGGCAGCTTGAGCGGCAAGGCGTGCAAGTTCGTGCCGGACGTGGCCCTCGTGTCTCTGCTGCTCTTCATGGGTACCTACTACACCACCATGGCGCTCAAGAGGTTCAAGACCGGCCGCTACTTCCCCACCACGGTGAGCGCCGTGCGCCTTGTCGAGCGGGTGTCGCGCAGTGGTTGGCGCGCTACGCTACGAGCCCGCCGATCGGGCGAAAGATTCCCGGTCGTGGCTAACGCTCGTTGTGAGTGATGACAGATCTTATTCTGACGCATTTTTGTGGGGTCGACTTGGCCTTATAGTGAGTACCTGTTGTGGTGTGGTAGGTAAAAGCGGCCGCTGCGTGTTGCTGGTCACAACACCCCTTTCGTGCACTGATCGGACCTTAGGAAGTGCTCGCTAGCAGCACTTGTCTCAATGTTTGTCTCTCTGCATGCGTGCACGTGGAGCAAAATTAGGGGCAAATAGTACAGCACCAGCAGGAGGCGTGGTCATGATTTATTGGTTCGTCAACTGATGTTGACTCTTACACTAATAATACATGCAGGGATTTGTGCGTGAAAGAATAAATGATTTTAATTCACATACGTTGGAAGGATTTGGTTCACATGACTCCTGCAGCCGCTTGATTTGTGACATTTGCTACACCGTTAACAAAATAAATCGCCCTTATCTAGCACCACTGAGATACTCGAATTGATTCCAGGCGAATAAACCGGGGTTAGAAGGTGCTATGAGATGATGATCTCAGCCTGGCCATAAAATAACGTATGAAAAGAAAAACATCATGTTATCTTTGGTTTTGCTTTTAATGGAGATATCAGTAGGACTGTCGTCAGTTTGATGAACTTTTTTTTTCTCTGTAGGAAGGTCGGTGGGCAAGTATTGCCCCTTAGTTCATTGTTATGAGATTTCAGAAGCAGTTCTGAGATGTCTCCTTCCATCCGTGGGCCGTCCTCTAAAATAGGACGATGCAGTGCTCTGCCAGCGCTCTTCACGTGGTGACATAATGGGCGGTGGTGGCTACTTACCGTAACCTGTAATCCAGCACTGCGGAGGGCGAGCGTTGGTGGGTCACCGCACAAATGTTGCGAAATGCTCTTCCTGTGGGCGTCGGCAGTGCAGGCAACGTGGACCCCACGTGTTCCATCTGTATGGAATAGCGTTTACCCCTCGCATGTGTGGGTTTCCTTTGGGCACTCCAGTTTCTTCCCACATGTAAAACAAAAAAAAACCGCATTGAGTGATAACACCGTAATATGTAGAGGACCACAGAGCTTCGGCAATTGTTGGTGCCTGCTCATCGCGGGGCTGACTTCCTACTTGTCTGTGGTTCTTCACACCTCTGAGTCGTTATCTCTCTACGAGAGTGAACGACCGCTGTGCTTGCGCTTTACACGTTGAAGTTATTATTATCATTATATCACGATTAGAACAAAAACTATTGGTGAAAAATAAAAGCAAAATGATCGTAATAAAAATAACATATACATGTTTTTAATGAGGCATTTTTAAGGAGCAGCTAACAACCCACACCTGCCTTCCCAATGTCCCTCTCACCTCAAAAGGGCCTAGCATCCACTGAGACTCGAAGGATTAATCCCCCAAACCCCTCCACCCCCCTCCCGTGGCGTCCTCCTCCCCACCACTAGGTCAGGAAGCTGATCAGTGACTTTTCAATCATTTTCTCCATCCTGCTGTTCTGCGGGCTGGATGCGCTCGTGGGCTTAGAGACGCCCAAGCTGCTCGTTCCCAGCGAGTTCAAGGTCTGCCTCCGGGATGAGGCTCCACCGTCGAGATTTTGCTCTTGGTTTTTTAGTTGTTGTTGCTGCGTGTGATTCGCAACTGAGCTGAGATGATCTCTGGAGGAAATCTAAGCCCCCCCTCCCTCTTTGATTCACTCCTGCTCCTGCAATCGGGGGAACAAGAAGTAAAATGTCGAAACGATAGACCTCTGAGTTTTCCCTCTTGCGGTTATTTTGTATTCAACACATGCACACTTGTTATGCTATCATTAAATGAAAACAGGTGTGATTTTATTCACGGTAATTTTCAACCAGTATATGTGGTGTCCAAATAACCCATCACATCTGGTTCATCATATACAATAGTGAAATTTTTTTGTTAACACTATATACACAGTGCGTAAAAATTATTTAGCAGTGGCCCAGTGGTTAGTGACCTTGGAGATGAACGTGAATGACATATCCATCGCAAGCAAAGCTCAGAGGTCTTCCTTTAGGATAGAGAATTATGACCACGGAAGCTAACACTCTGTACTATGTCTCTCTTCTCGCTGATCTTTCCCTTCGGATGCACAACCCTGTGCTGACCGTGCTCTCTCTGCTCTCCTCTATCCGCAATTGCGTTCTCTCTCTCCTCTCGGGTGCCCAGTGTCTCGCACGCCACCTACCCCCTACCCTCTTCCACGGCCTGCATCTCCCTGCCCTTTGACCCTTCACCACGTCTCTGGGTCCCTCCCCGACTGTCCCATCTCTCCTGATCTCCTGTGCCCGGGCCCTCCTGCAAACACACATGCGCTGCTTCGTCAATTGTTTCTTGCTCGTAGATCCGTAAGCTCATCAGCGACTTCTCCATCATTCTGTCCATCTTCACCTTCGTGGGCCTCGACATATTGATCGGTCTCGAGACCCCCAAACTCGTGGTCCCCACCGAGTTCAAGGTAACGTCCTGAATCCAGGCGGTGTCTGAGTAGCAGGTAAAGATCCTTCACAGCATGCAGCTGTTGGAGTTGTCATCTGTACCCCGAGATAGCTGTTTGGATCGTCAGTCAACTTTAGGGTTGAAAAGATGACCCCTGTATTATTGAGCTTCTATATATGAATGAGCCATGTGGCCTCAGTGGTTATCGCATTTCCACATATATATGTTTCACCTAATGGCCAAATTCCACTCTCGTATATAAATACACGATCACATTCAGGAGGCACAGCAGCGCTTTGTTTAGCCACACCAGGAGCTGTCTCGTACCTTTTTTTTTAAACCTGGGTAGAGCTCTTCGGAATCCATATTTTAAAAGTGCCCTTTTTAAATATTTGTATCTTTTCTCATTTTTATTCATTGCAATCACTTCTGTGTGCTCTGCTTGCTTGGCAGTTCCTGAAAATAATAAATTTTCAAGTTTTTTTTTTCAATATTTTACGTATAAATGTTCTTTGTTTAAAGTTGCTATGTTATATTAATTAATGGGGAACATATTCAAATGTGTTTTCCAAGTTCTACGTAGTTAAACACTTTTAATTCACTGTATTACCTGTGAAATGTCATCAGAGTGATTTTGCACCCTGCGTGTCTAATATTTTCTTTCCCCTTCCCACACCCACTTCTCATTTACAACCCTTTATGAATGAATAAATGAACGAGTGAATGAATTATTCTTCCCACCATTGCCCTTTACCTCCTGCCCCACCTGCTCCACTCCCTTCCCACTCCTCGCTCCGCATCTTGGCAAAAACCCCCGAATGCTTGAACCCCCGTTGGCTCCCCTTGACCCACAGCCCACGAGCGCCAAGCGCGGCTGGTTCGTGCCGCCGTTCGGAGGGAACCCCTGGTGGGTGTACCTCGTGTCCGCAGTGCCCGCGATCCTCATCACCATCCTCGTCTTCATGGACCAGCAGATCACCGCCATCATCGTCAACCGCAAGGAGAACAAGCTCAAGGTCACAGTTTAAAAACAAAACAAAAAGACAGTAAAACCTTGGATTGCGGGTAACTCGGTCTGCGAGTGTTTTTACAAGACGAGCAATTTTTTAAAAATACATTTTACTTGATAAACGAGCGAGGTCTTGCAATATGAGTAGTACGTGCAGTATATGCTTTGTCTGCCGAGCATCACGTGATCACAACTGAGCCAATGGTTCTTCTCTCTCTCTCTCGCTGCGGGATTGTGGATAATCATCTCCCATGCTCGGTCTCAGTCGGCGTGCCTCACTCGTACAGTCAACATCCGTGCGAGCGTATACTGTTTACTATAGTACTATAGTGTTGTGACCACGTGTATACTGTTTACTATAGTACTATAGTGGTGTGACCACGTGTATACTGTTTACTATAGTACTATAGTGTTGTGACCACGTGTATACTGTTTACTACAGTACTATAGTGTTGTGACCACGTGTATACTGTTTACTATAGTACTATAGTGTTGTGACCACGTGTATACTGTTTACTATAGTACTAGTGTTGTGACCACGTGTATACTGTTTACTACAGTATAGTGTTGTGACCACGTGTATACTGTTTACTATAGTTCTATAGTGTTGTGACCACGTGTGTACTGTTTACTATAGTACTATAGTGTTGTGACCACGTGTGTGTGCGTAAAGCATTTTTTTATTTTGTGTCCAAGTGTAGTGACTGTTCTTTAGTAACTGTACTGCAATAATGCCCCCCCCCATGAAATCCTCAAAAGGAGGCAAAAGCAAGTGTCATTGGATAGGTTCCCTGTTACTGGTAGGAACGAAGTTGTAAACTGAGTGTACCAGCCTGCAATAGATTAATGTGTCCGTCCGTCCGTTCCCTTTCAATACTTTAACGAAGTGAAATCTTGTGCTGTTGGGGTGTAAAAATAAAATTGCGCAAAATTCCAATGTTCCTACCAGCCCACCCTGCAGGGACCTGTTAAAGTCGCACAAAAAGAAAATGATTCCAGTGAGCCAACAGATGGCAGTGATTCCGTTAGTGACAGTGAAAGTCGTCCTACACAATAACCCTCCTCCTCCTCTCCTCTCTCTCGTCTCCCTCACACCAGCCACGATTAAATTTAATTAATTAATTTGATTACTTTATATTGAATGTAAATAATAAAAATATAAAAAGGTATTTTCTATTAATCATTTTTCTTATGGGGAAATTCGCTTTGATATACGAGTGCTTTGGATTACAAACACGTTTCCGGAACGAATTACGCTCGCAATCCAATGTTTTACTGTATATGTATTATTATCACCCGATGTGTTAAGGACATTTTTTTTTAGCATGATGCTTTTTTTTCTTTTCTGGAATGTCTTTGCTCCTGGAGACCCACTGAGGTTTGTTTGGCTTCCAGCAAGTTTAGGAGAGCCTTGGTCACATTTACAATTTTGGTTGTATTGCGTAGAATGCCGGCTGTGGCAACAGTGCATGGTAATGGGTGAGACAGTTCCCTGGCTGCGTAAAAATACGATGGTTTGCTCACACCACTGCTGACAGAAGGGCGTCCACTAGGGGGTGTTTTTCCTACTCTTACAAACCAGCCAGACATCTTGGAAGAGTTAAGAGTGCCCACGCTTTACCCCACAATACATAACCTAATTGATCGTGATCCTTGACGCATCTATGCTGTTGGTTGGACAGGGGATGCGGGGGGCGGTCAGTGGGGAAGGGAGGGATAATTTAAGAAATGTTCCCCTTTCTTTCAACTGCCGTGCTTGGAGAGTGAACCAAATTCCTCTGATTTCAAAGTCCAGTCCCCAATTACAATATATATCCCAAGAAAGCATTGGCCACCTTATAATAAAGTTTGTATGACCCACAATGTAATTTGTGGCCACAGCACGCGCTAATTTATGAAACAATTCCTGACTGCATATGGCTTAATTTTGTAATATATCCCCATGTGTCCTCTTTGAATTTGATCAATGCCTCTAATATTCAAGGCAAGTAAAAAGACGCTGCTGGTCTTTTAATCCAGGTGCATGTGGAGAATGCAAGGAGTCAGGGCCGTAGCTAAGCGTCCCTTTAGCCCAGGGCAAAGTGCCACCCTTGCGCCCAGCTGCTGTGCCACCAGCACCGCTCCACCAAAGTATGTGAGCCACCAAAGGATCTGGAAAATGTTACAATGGGTGGGACTCGTTTGCAGAATGTGGGAGGGCTGGTTACTATAACAGGCAGTGATGTGGCACCCAGAATGTTGTCGACTGAGAGGAAGACCCAGAATAGTGGTGGTCTGAGGCTGTAAGAGTCCTCCTTGCAAGTCAGACATTGACTTTGCGATAACTGTGGATTCTTGATATTTAATCAAATTCACAAGGGTTTTGGTTGAGACGTCACTGTGTAGTGGTCCCTCTCTTTCTTATCATGTCATTGTTTTTGCAGAGTGCACAAGTTAGTGGAAGGGGTTTCCCTATTCAGTTAACCTACCCTTGTGAGTTCCACACTACACTGTGCAGCTTGCCAAGAGATGATGCTGCTGCTACTGCTGCTGCTGCAGGTGGTGGTGGTGGTAATGGCAATGGCGGTGCTGATGGTGGTGCTGCTGCTGCTGCTGCTACTGCTACACATGGCGGTGCTGATGGTTATAGCAGTATTGCTGCTACTGCTGCTGGTGGTGGTTGACCCTGGGTCACCGCGAACTTCTCCTGGCTGTGTGTTGTGGGGGTCTCACAGAAAGGCTCCGGGTACCACCTGGACCTGTTCTGGGTGGCCGTGCTGATGGCCACGTGCTCCTTCCTGGGCCTGCCCTGGTACGTGGCCGCCACCGTCCTCTCCATCGCCCACATCGACAGCCTCAAGATGGAGACGGAGACGTCGGCCCCGGGAGAGCAGCCCAAGTTTCTCGGAGTCAGGTGGAGAGCTTGGGAACGCATGGCGACGTGCCGTGGCTCCGGATCAAAAGACAAACACCCTACCCACCCCCCGTATAGCCTGGAGAGACTGCTGGGGCAAGTGCTGTTAACGAGTAGTACCTATGAAGGCCTGAAAAGTACACGAGGGGGTGGGTGGCCAACACCACGCCCGGTCGTCTTTGTCTCCCCAGTGGTGATGTTTTACACACCGCACCAGGTACTAATTTGAGGCTGAGTCCACCTAGGGGATAATCGCCGGGTTCGTCAAGCAGCGCGCTAACCGCTACACCGCCGCTCCCCAAATCGGGTTTTGTAATTGCAGGTGATGTGAGCGAGTGATTTATGAATTAGATCAGGGTCCTCGTGATATATTTTCTTGCAGTCCACATCATAAAATTGGCTTGTGCCATCGGGTCAAAGGACATCATGTATTACGACACGATATCATATTGTCATAATTGTACGGCATCATCTCTCTCTTGTTTATCTTGGGTTGCATCTCAGTCGCCTTTATCTCTTGTCTATGGCTTCAACATCATCTCATTAATCTGCACATTATTGCATCTCTTGGTTAGTCCCACAAGCTATATGGCTTCCGGACCGCCAGCATTCGAATAAATTGAACGGAGTGGCGATGTCTCAGGCATGAGTGGCGTGTTGGGTTGTTGCCAGACCTGTTCTTCTGAGAGGTTGCATGGATTCCTTGACTGGAAAAAAACCCTGAGGTGGAGTTCACTGCCTATCTGACCTGGAGCTATGGCAACACCACTGATAACACAGCAGTGGGTATTGTGTTGGATAAAACCACCGGAGTACGGAGAGAAAAGCCACGCACACAAGGAGATAACACCAGAAAGGTCTGCAATTATGAATCGAAGAATATTATTACTGTCCGACCACATCCTGGCCACCTCGCGGCACAGAGGAATCGGACGTTTCATACATTTGTTGTTATCTGCCGACGCTCGTCTCCGAACCGATGGATCACAGCGGTGTGCCACTGCAGCCAGACAGGATAAGCGGCTTCTGCTGAGTTTTCATGGAAAATTACCAGATCAGCAGAAAATATATAACAGCGACTCAAACTAATTGGGCAGAGGCTACCATTTTGCCAACAGCAACAACAACAAAAAACTCAACGCATTCGTAAATAACACCGTCTTAAAAAAAAGGGAAAATATCTAACGGGTGACGTTTCGGGCAATGGCCGTATATGCAAACATGTTTTTATTTTAGGTGGCTATCGCTCTCTCGCACTCTCTCCCCCCTGCTCGCGCTGCAACTCACTCCGTCCACCTCTGTAATTCTACCGATTCTAAGCAAAAGCTTTTGCCCGAGCGTGGGTGTCTCACCACGGCACAGTGTGACATTCGTGTCCTCCATTCCACAGGGAGCAGAGGATTACCGGCGTCCTGGTGTTTGTGCTCACGGGAGTGTCCGTGTTCCTGGCTCCCATCCTCAAGGTACTTTGCTACGATTCCACGATGAACAGAAATATTAATCGAGCCATGCTGGGACATTTGAAGAATATCCCAGCGTGGCCTCTTTTCTCGACACGTCAAGGGCTACATGGCTCGATGGGCTCCCCCTGCCCACCCCATGGCTCCTGTCTCTGGTGGCGAGATGTTAACTACCTCACCTGGTATACAGGAGGTCGTAAGTTCGATCCAAACCCTGACGCCTGGATTTTTCTCTGGGTCCTCCGGTTTTTCCCTCCACATTTAGAATCAGCATGCGTTTACAGTATTTGACTGCTATAAATTTCCACATGATAAGCTACTTCGTTGGGCTATCATTTGTGGCTGGGTCGCTTCTAAAAAAGAGCTGTATAGCTCAGTGGGGCTTACCTGGTAACATGAAAATAGTAAATAGAAAAAAATCCCACGCCCTCCCTCCACCGCCATATCTCCCTATCCCTCCAGATTAAGAGAAAATAATTATTTGCTATACTTTCCAAGGTTTAATGCAGGTTTTATGTTGCACTTTCCTAAAATGAACAATATAATTTTTTACATTTTCTGTTGTATTTCTCTTTTTATGTTTTGGACAAACGCAGCTCTAAAGTAAAATTACTCGAGATACAGCATCTATGCCGTATCCTGGTACCACACTGACCCACGACTGCTTCCGAGGATGGACCAGTTGAAGGGGCCATCTTTCCCGCTTATATAAGGGTTTGCGTTCAGTGGTCAGGGCGCTCTACCATGGCACTACGAGGCAAGAGTTCACTCTTATTGACCGGTGTGTTAAGACGGCGAGTGCCTCACAACGGCAGGTTATGTCAGGCACCCGCTTTGCCAACCTGACCCAGGGATACAAATTAGTGGGTGGGAATACATATCTGGTTCCGTTGGGGGGAATCAATTTTAATTCAGCAGCGTGGCCCTGTAATGCTGCTGTGGGAATCCAGGCCATGCCCAGATCCTTGGTGCACAAATTGAGCCGCCAGCTCCCTTGATAAAGTGCCCTTACAAACGTGGGAACCGTGAGGTGCGGCAAGACTAAGAAACCTGGGCTGTGCGTGTTCACGCATGACTTGCATTTCAATCTCGTCGTGAACGTTACGTTTCTGCTGTGAGCTGTAGTTGTATAGTGTTACCAATAGATGTCTCTCTACCCCGTCGGATGCTTCAGAAATTGCACAGGGATTCTCACAGGGGAGGTGTTAATGGTGAAAAATATATATAATATTTTAAGGAAGTGTGCATATATTATTAATTATTGATGAGCCCTGCTTAATAATTCATGTGGTGGGCATGGCTGTGCAGCTTGCCGGAGAGTTTGCAAAATTAATCTGGATTTTTTTAAAGCCAATATTAACAGTCCACCCCTGCACGGCAGGTACCTTCCTGCAGTCTGTAACATCGTGCAGGCTGTGGCCTGAGAATTGATGGCGTTTTTTTTTGTATTCCTTGCCTGCCCCCTCCCACTCCAACCCCCAAATGCCATGCTGCAGTTCATCCCCATGCCAGTGCTGTACGGAGTCTTCCTCTACATGGGAGTTGCGTCCCTCAATGGAGTACAGGTCTGTCTGCCGTGTCGGAGAGCCCGTTCCACATGCCAACGCGCCATCACGGCCACGGTGAAGGATTAAACGAGTAACGAGATGGCCATTTGGCTCAGAGGTCAGAGCGCTGAGCTGGCACTGCTGAGATCCTGAGGTCGAATCTGCGAAATTGCCCACGGTTAAATTGGATTCTGGGTTCCAAGGTGTAATGAGTTTGTGGTCTCAGTCCGATCACCAACAATTGCATAACAAAAACTATCAAACAGTATCACCATTCGGTTGTGAAATTAATGTGTCTAACTTCCAGCTCTGAGAATTAATGTTAATGTCACCTAACGAACGTTACTGTCACCTAATGAGCGTTACTGTCACCTATCGAACGTTACTGTCACCTAACAAAAGTTACTGTCACCTAACGAACGTTAGTCACCTAATGAACGTTACTGTCACCTAACACAAGTTACTGTCACCTAACGAACGTTACTGTCACCTAACACAAGTTACTGCCACCTAACACAAGTTACTGTCACCTAACGAACGTTACTGTCACCTAACACAAGTTACTGTCACCTAACGAACGTTACTGTCACCTAACGAACGTTACTCTGTGGAATGAGGTCACAGGTTGGATCTGGACATAGGTTCCCCGCTGGAGTTGCTCCCTGTCCTGGGTATTCCCAGCATCGTCCTCTCTTTCAGAGACATTAAAAGTCCCAGTTTTGTTACCTGTGTAACAATAATAACAATACACAATTGAAGACAGCGCATTTACTTGCAGTGCTCTCCCCTTCTGGTATTGTGATGCATCCTTCTTCCCATTAAATATCCCGGGTAGCTTTTCAAGGTGGCTTTCATTTTACTGACATGCACAGTAAACAATGCCCCCCCCCCCCCCCCGTCCATTACAGTTCATGGACCGCATAGCGCTCTTCATGATGCCAGCCAAGCACCAGCCGGACTTCATCTACCTGCGCCACGTGCCCCTGAGGAGGATCCACCTCTTCACCTTCATCCAGATTGTCTGCCTGGCCGTGCTGTGGGTACTCAAGTCCACCGTGGCCGCGATCATCTTCCCCGTCATGGCGAGTCCCCGCCCCCTTCATGCACCCCTCCCCCCCGTCATGGCGAGTCCCCGCCCTCTTCGTGCACCCTCCCTCGTCATGGCGAGTCCCCGCCCTCTTCCTACCCCCCCCCCCCCCCCCGTCATGGCGAGTCCCCGCCCCCTTCGTGCACCCTCCCTCGTCATGGCGAGTCCCCCGCCCTCTTCCTACCCCCCCCCCCCCCCGTCATGGCGAGTCCCCGCCCTCTTCCTGCCCCTCCCCGTCATGGCGAGTCCCCACCCCCTTCATGCACCCCCCCCCCCCCCCCCCCCCCCCCCCCCCCGTCATGGCGAGTCCCCGCCCTCTTCCTGCCCCCCGTCATGGCGAGTCCCCGCCCTCTTCTTGCCCCCCCCCGTCATGGCGAGTCCCCGCCCCCTTCCTGCCCCCCATCATGGCACTTGGCACATCAAAAGGTCGTTATGGTAGTGGCAGTGCGAGGCAAAAGCATCTCAAGAATAAGCGTAGGGATGAGCATCCACATCATGGGACCTCCTTTGCCAGTAGCAAAATATGATTACTCTGATAGTGCATTGTCTTTGTGCTGTACGCCTCTTGGCGTCCTCTGGTCTCACACCGTTTGAGACGAGGCTCAAAAGAAAGCTGTCTCTGGTGTGGACCAATCAGTTTCAAGGGCAATGCATATATTATCAGAGTGTTTTTTGTTTGCATTCTGGCCACAAGCATTGTGGTTAATTCAGACATGATTCCTTGTAAAAGGTTTCAGTTTGGTGTTTAAAACATCTTATATGACTTTACCGAAAGAACCAAGAATATGAATCACTGCAGTCACGAAAGCTTTAAATCAAAATCTTAACACCTGTTCTGTTGCCAGAAAAAATGGGAATTACCTATTATCAAGCGTAGGGATCGCAAGTGGCTCAAGGGGTAACCGAGATTCATGACACGCAATAGGGGTGTACCACACATCAGCCTGAGCTGCACATCCTCGTACCTGAACATAAAGAAGTTCATGATTCTAACGCCACAACTTAATTATAATTGGTATATTAACGTAAGCATTTAACGCAACTGTGTTATATATATTCTTGGTTCTTTCGGTAAAGTCACGTAGAAAGGAAACAATAATATAATAAAAATAAATTGTTTTATTGTTTTATATTTTTATTATTTTATTGTTTCCCTTCTACGTGACTTTACCGAAAGAACCAAGAATATGAATCCTTGCAGTCACGGAAGCTTTACATCAAAACTGTGTTATAGTTAAGTTTGGTAGCTTGTCCAGCGTATACTGTTGTGTCTGAAGTCAACCGGCACACCCACAATGCTCTTGATGCCACCAGCAGCTGGCCGTCACTTCCTTCCTTCTGCTTGATTCCACGGTGGTTGCACAGCTGACAATTTGAGGCTGGGTTGGCGCAGCGGTGACCATGCCTGACGACTGACGGTCACGTCCTGAGTTCCGGCGTGACCCACCCCCCTACCCTCTCGCGTTGCCACCTTTATACGAAGGTGACACACGAGCCTGTTGTCTCCTTTTTATTAACTTATTCTGTTTTGTCGTTGTGGGCCTCGTCAGGTGCTGGCGCTGCTGGTGGTGCGCAAGTCGATGGAGTGCGTCTTTTCCCAGCACGACCTCAGCTGGCTGGACGATATCATGCCGGAGAAGGACAAGAAGAAGAAGGAGGACGAGAAGAAGAAGAATAAAAAGAAGAAGAAGAAATCCAAGGGCGGCACCGACAGCGAGAGCGACGACGTGAGCGCCCGTGACCGATGAGCCGCAGCCCTCGCCAGCCGAGCGGCGTTTGAGGCCGGGTTGGTGTGGCCGCACGGAGAGGCCGGCAGGGCCTTGCCCTAGATGTTACAAAAGTGGCTCTGCAAGGTAGCCACGAGAGGGCAATGTCGAGTGTTAGCCCCCCCCCCCCCCCCCCCCGTTTGTGTGATGTTCTTCCGTTACCTATCACATAAATAGAAACTACCATTCGTACATTCATGGGATTTGCCAAACATCACAATGCATTACCCCATGCTGTTATAGAGGTCATCCCAGCCAATGTCGACGATGCCTCCACATCTCGCCATCGCCTCCTTCCTTCTGCTAGATCCCACAGCATTTGCTCAGTCAACAGTTTCCCTCCGAGATTCCTACGTGGAGATCTTCGGCCGACCCCCGAGTGTCCGTCTCTCGCTTTATTATTCCCAGGAGAAGCTGAGGCCTGTCGCGTCTGCGGAGCAGCTGCGCGCCGAGCTCCTTCCCAACAGCCAGATGGATCTCATGGATCGCCGGTAATTGCCTCAGCAGCTGGCTCCGCCGCAGCTAGCGGTGCCTTGTCGATGTCCTCATCGTCGTGAATTTAACGTTGTTCTGTGATTGTGACCACGGTTTTCTCTGTGTTTAACAGGCTTACGTTTCTCTGAGCACATCTCAACAGTACTAATCACTTTCTTTGCTCTTTTGTCTCCTCCACTGCTTCCTTCCTTGCTTCTGTGATTCGTTGCTTCCTTCTGCCCGTTGCAATTCCGTTGCTTCCTGCATTGCTCTTTGTGATACCATCCTGCATTGCTTCTCTCATTACCTTGATTCACCATATATTGAGCCCTTCATGAACGTCTTTATTTTGTTTTATTAACTCCCACAACCAAATTCGTACTTCCCTCTAAATGTTTTTTTCATTACGATTTAATTTCACATGCATATCCCTCCATCATTCAATTCCTCACCTCCTCCTTCACTTTCCTCCCACCCCCTTCCTTTCCTGTATTTCATTATATCTGCCTCGCATGACTCCCATTGGTCCAACTTGCCCTCGATGCCCTTCTAATGCCCCCCCCCAATGCTCCATGCCCCCCCCCCGCCCCCCCCCAATGCCACCTGCTCATCCCTATCCATCACCCCGTAGTATCACCCTGCACCTAAAGATCTCGTGCCCGTCCCCCACCTCCAGCCCCAAGGCGCAGGTGAGCGGCCACTCGGTGCCACAGTTCAAGATCCAGGTGGACTCGGACTGCGACACGGACCCGGACAAGTCACCGCTGTCCCAGCGCGACCACGGGGGAGAGACCATGCTGTGATCCTGGCTGCTGCGACCGCGCGACTCCGATTGTTCGACTATAATCGCGCGATCCTGGTATCCGTTCTGTGTCATCCCTTCCACCGTTGTGTGATCCCTGCAATGGTTGTGTTCTCTACAACGATTATATTGTCCGTCCAATTGTTCTGCAGTCATCGCAGCCATTCGATATGATCCTTGCAACTGTTCTGTGATCCCTGAAACAAGTATGTGATCCCTGAAACATTTTTGTAATCCCTAAACCATGTTTTTCCCTGCAACCATGCTGCAATTTCTGTGATGATTATGCAAACCCTGTAACGATTATGTGATCCTTGTGGTGAATCTGCACACTGCAACTTTTCTACAATCGTCCTACATTTCGTATGACGACAGCGCATTTCTTTTGACCAAACTGTGATTTTCCCCTGCTACAATCCCCGCATCGATCTCCTTTTTCTATTGACACATCCAAACCGTGCCAGCACAGGTTGTTTTCCACTGGAAATTTTCCACACCGAGCCATGGCCTCGCGAGACATTCTCAATCAAGCCACGCAAGGGCACGGCTAATGCCTTGTTCAATGCGCGTGACGTGGGCGCACTGTGAGGTCACAACGTCGGCACGTCACCTTGCACGCGTTTCGACGTCACGTGTTGCGTGCGTGCGGGCGTCTGTGGCACGGCTCGGGTTCTGCGGTGGAAAAACGTCAGCTGAGCCACCGTGGCTTCTGGCTCGGCACGGCACGGGCCCCGGTGCAGCTTGGATGTGCCAGTGGAAAAAAGTGATACGTCTTGCGAAGCGCCGACTCGTTGAGGCGTGTGCCCCCCCCCCCCCCCCCCCCCCCCCGAGCGAGTGAGGTGATACGCTGTACAGAAGTGGGGAGGAGGGTTTACGTCTTGTGACTATTGGTCCTGCACTGTAAATAGTAGTACGTGTTTATCCATCTCACCGGCTGTAATGTATGTAAAGAAATAAGAAGTGGAAGTAAACAAACAAAAATCTAGTGTTTTTGTTGTTAATTTACATTGCTGAACTTGTCTCTTTCAAATGTGTTTGTTGTTTAGCCTTTAACACTGCTGCGGCTTACGGTGTACCGTACAAGCCTGTGCGTGCAGTGTAATGCTCTGATCAAAATATGTCACGTAAAAAAATTAAGTTGTAATAATAACGAAATTAAATCATGGGCAAACTTATAAACAGTGGTGCTGTACTCTTTGGTTCTTTCGGTCACGTGGGTATAAAATAAAATAAATCACGACGTTTCGGGCGCAACACGAGCGTCCGTCATCAGGTGGGAAAGCAATGTCGTAAAACCTGGGGTCACCACATTCCTACAAACTTGACAGTAGCGCCTGTCTTGTTAATAAGACTTGGATTTCAAATATCTCAATATCACACGTAAAAAAATCAATACAGTAAACTTCTTTCGCACATAGTTATCGTTCTTCGTAACAGCAGTTTGAATTACTCGGCACCTGTTTTACATACGCACTGCATGCGGCACATTTTTATTCTGAATTTAAAAAAAATGACATCAGGGGACCGTGCGGGATGGCGACAAATTAATTATCAGAGGCCTTCATCCAGCAGTGGATTGACCGTGGCTGATGGTGATACTGAAAACAACACAAGTCACAGCAATGTATTTTTATCGTGACTCAAAGCTTCCGTGACTGCAGGAATTCATATTCTTTGGGTCTTTCGGTAAAGTCACGTAGTGAAATAAAATGAACGTGACTTTACCGAAAGACCCAAAGAAAATGTTTTTTTATTTGCTTCGTTGCTCACGAAAAATGTCTCGATTTCAGAACCAAAGTGTATTGACGCGATCTGTGTGACGGTGTGGCAGTTGTTTTTGGTCGACTGAGCCGTTTATTTATTTCCCAAGCTGCTTTGCGAGTGCGTGGGCTGAGCTGCTAGCCTTGTCCCATGATGCATTGCACTTACCTTTCCCACAATGCGCTGTGCTCAGCGACAATGCACTCCCTGTTGTTCTTTTTGCAAACTGTGGTATGTTACGAATCAGTTATTTTAAGGTTGTTTTGGTTTTTATTCGCCCTTTGCTCGTGGCAACAATGTGAGCATTACTGATGCGTTAGGTATTTAGGAATATTTCACATTGTCACTGTAATGCGCAGGTGTTGGGATCCTAAAGCCTGTGGGCCATGTCGAGCCCGCTACTTCATTTCACATGTCCCGTGGCCACACGAGGCCTACGACTCTGTACCAGCGAGCAAGATATTGATCCATCACAGTAAGCATTTTAAACCAAACTAATCGGGTATGAGGGATGGACATTTTTCACCTGGCAACACTGTTTCTAATTTTAGTGAAGTCACTGCAAGGGAACCTTGGAGTGATCAGCGATGGCTGATTTGTGTTTGTGTGTGTTCATGCGTGGGCCGCCAAGAGCATTCGAAAGTTCGATTTGGTCCTGAGGATGGAAAGGTTTCCCACCCCTGCGCTATTAGATCATTTAATATGGCTACTGCAGAGTGTCCTGTCAAAAGTAACACAATAGGGGTGTAACGAAGAACGTATTCGACTATTCGTATTGATTATTAAGGCTCGTGATACATGCATTGAATCTTGTGCGTAAGAATGGATGTTTTGCTTGTATGTAAACACTATGCAAGTTTGATGCTAATTTAGGCGAATGGAGCAAACGCAACTTTTAAGAAGCAGGACAAATAAGAGGAAACTATACAAACGAGATGGCGAAAACGAGATCAAAAAATAATTCCCGAATCCAATCGTGGTCTAGGTTCTTGGCAATTCACTAAATAACTCGGGGAGAAAGGTTGAGGCGACGAATGGTTACACCCCTTCAACACACTCACTAAATGGGAGATGTCTGAACCTATCGCCCGACGCAAATTAATGCCGCAAAATCCCCAAATGCTCTCGTTTCGCATGGCCTGACATTAAACGCGGGGGGGCGGGGGTCGAAACTGCTGCACGTGGCTGCCTGTCGTTTCATCTCAGGTACCAGGACTGTGTGAACGTTGCCAGACATGTCCCACTTTCTGTGGCAGCCCTACACGTGGGAGTGTGTACATTGTCTGCTGCCCCCGTAGTCCGGAACTCTCTTTATGCAGCCAGCCGTGTTGTTGGCTCCCTGCCCTCTGTTCAAATCCAGGTTCAAGACCTTCCCTTTTGGCCCCCTCTGCCTGCAAGTGACTGCCTCTCTGTGTAGATTTAATATCTCCCCCGTTTATGTACAGGGCCTCGAGATGTGGTCGCATTTATACGCAATGTGAATCCAAATTGTATACATGTATTGCATTTTTGGATTTAAAGCTTTCGTGACTGCAGTGATTCATATTCTTGGTTCTTTCCCTTCAACGTGACTTTACCGAAAGAACCAAGAATATGTATTGCATTGTAAATTCACCCAACTGTAGAATGGCCATGGCTAATGATGATTGAATTGTATGCATCACGTACACCCAATCCTTGTTTTCACATCACCGTCAACTCCTGTTCTTGCTTTGCATTATGAGATTTCACGCTTGACATTTGACGAGAGTGAACAAGCAGATCTAGGGTTTTCTGAATAGGGCCATCCATTTAGTAGGTACGCAAAAATCTGTCAAAACTTCACCCCTCCCTGTACGCACGCGGACTTTTTACACCCCCCCCCCGCCACCTGAGTACGTACGCCCGACGCACCCTCCACCCTCCGTTTCCTATGGAACGGCCGATATTTAATCCACGCAGAAACGATCAAGGATTAATAATGAACGTGTTTAAGCAAACAGTCCACCGCCGGACGATCTAACTCATTTGGAGGCCAGTGTAGACAAATTATTATCGCGGCTTCACCGCCCCCCCCCGTTTCCTATGCGTACGGACATTGTCAGTGGACCCCCCCATACGCAAGCGAACACATTTGGGTTAACCCCCCCCTCCCCCCTTCATGCGTACGCACTAAATGGATGGCCCCTTAATGAAACCCCGTTTGTAAATTCGTCGTTTGTTGTTGCCGTAATAGGAATGTCCCTGTCACGGTGTGACGTTAAACATACATGCAGTAAGTTAATCTGCACTTATTTGAATACTTGAATTGTAAAATTCTCTACACACACACACCTAAAGATTGTCGATATAGCGTGATTATAAAGTGTAGTATGTGTATTATATACAAATCAAATTATAATAAAGTACAACTGTTAACTACCATTGTTTGATGAAGTTAAACCCGTGCAAATTTCGGACAAAGGTTGATTTCATTGTAAATTGAGTTCTGAACATATAACCTCCCAAAACTCATCAGCACATCAAGGGTATATGTTTACGTGCAAATAGATTTCTGAGCGACCATCATCTCTGGAAATATGTATTGTGTCTAGTCAAAAGTCAATGTCCTCACAACTCAAAACGATCATTTATAGGTGCGTATCTCCATTTGTGATTGTGAGCCAATTATATAATATCTACATTCCTGTGGTCCCTCCGTAATATAACTAACGTATTGTACTGACGTACCATCAGGTCTGTGAGGTGGGCAGATGGCAGTACAGCAATGGATTATTGAATCGATCTGTGCTAAGCTTTGTGAGTGTGACCCCCCCCCCCCCCCAAGTCTACCCTCGTGTAGGTGTGGGTTTCCTCTGCGCATGCCAAACACGCGTTTATGGAATTCGCCAAAACATCCCAATACAGGACTCGACTGATGAATTCTTGCGACTCGAGGGAGGTTACGTGCCCCAGATGTCGTCCACCATGAAGATGAAGCAATGAAATCAGCTCGTGTGCACGGACTAAAGGCAATTTTCCTTCACAATATTGAAATGCTGAATTATCGATAGACTATGGGGGCCTTCTTCTTTGGTTCTTTCGGTAAAGAAGATGAATCCTTGCAGTCACGAAAGCTTTATATGGGGGCCTTCATTCAGACTTGGTTTGGTCATGGCCAATAATGACTTGTAAGTGGTACAAGTCTCACAAAACAATTGTACACATTTTACCAACAATGGTAATGAGTAAATACAAAAAAAGTGTTCATAATTAATTTACCATCCAAATTTGTACGAGAGCTCGGCCACAATACCTACGTATGCACCAATGCAACACAAATTGTAAGCTTGTTACTCATGTAAAGCATTCAAGCATATGGAGAAACAATATACAGTACTGTATTTAAGAATATATTTCAGATACATAATATATTTCCAAGGATCCACAACCTTTTGGATAAAATCCATGGTATGTCAGTTCCTCGGTTCTCTCCTTCCAACGCTGGTAATACTTGCTGCTGCAGCGGAAACCTGTAAATACACGGGGACACATGAAGCCATATTTAACATGATAGTCCAGGACAATAAAACTGGTCATGATGGTTGGGGGCATAGTTGTACAGTGCAGCAATGACAGGTCTTTGCTTCTGTACTGCCCTCTGCAGCTCACAACAGAGCTATGGTGGAACACGCTTGTCATCTCAGATGTAGGAACAATTCATAGGTTTCACCCTTTCTGGCAATAAAACAGATGTTAAGATGCACAAACACCAAACAGAAACTTTTTTTTTGCATGGACTCGAGTTCGCATTAACCACCCACGTGACTTGTGGTTAACATGCAAACACACATGCCCTGATGATTATATATATGTTGTAGGAGTTGGCAGAGTAGGGGGCCACGGGTGGGCCACTCATCTCACGTCAGTCGACTGCATGGCGCCTGCTGGGTCTGTCCAGTGACCTCCTCCTTGCCCGCGGAGCGTTCGACACTTCACGTGGCCTTAACGTGCACCTAGCCTGGCACAAGCGCCGTGGTGGCGTCACGGCCACTTCGTGGCGAATGGCGGTTGTTGTTGTTGTCGCAAGAGGAGGGGCAAAACGTTGTCTATCACAGAGGGTCGGTAAATAAAAATAACAAGAAGTGGCAGATCATTGTTATAATTCAGTAGGCTCACATGACATTGACTTTTCCAAGACAGAGGTTCTTTGTAAGCCATCTGGCTACCATGAGAGATTCGTTCATGAGGCTATCCACATATACAAGCACAGAGACAATTTCAACCGAGAAGATGGATTCTATCTTAGCAATTATTGGAAAGATTTGATAAACCATTTCAAGTCTTAATTGATTGTTCACGCTTACAGTGGCTTTCAGACAGCATACATTATAAAAAAATTCGTCTCCCCCCTCCTCTTTTCAGAACATAGATGGACTAGTCCTTCTAAATAAACTGCCAAATCGCTGCCCGTGGCGCTGACGTTTTTTATAAATAAATACACCGTTTAAAAATAAATAAATTAATGCAAACCGACACACCTGATGACGACCGTTTGTGTTGTGGTCGAAACGTCGTGAGAATTTTTATTGTTTTATATATTTTTTATTATTTTATTGTTTCCCTTCAACGTGACTTTACCGAAAGAGCTAAGAATATGAATTACTGCAGTCACGAAAGCTTTAAATCAAAATTTAAGAAGTGCCTTTTTTGGGGGGTTCGAATTCGGTAAAAAAAACGAACCCCAACCCCTGGACATGTGACGAACCGCGTGCGGATCCTCCCACGTCGTGGGCAGGTGGCCGACCCCGGTCGAGCAGAACGGCGATCGCACCAATCGCCCATAGCAGGGCACCCCCCCCCCAACACCCCGAGTGTGGCTGTTGCCCCCCCCAACACCCCGAGTGTGGCTGTTGCCCCCCCAACACCCCGAGTGTGACTGTTGCCCCCCCCCAACACCCCGAGTGTGACTGTTGCCCCCCCCAACACCCCGAGTGTGACTGTTGCCCCCCCCAACACCCCGAGTGTGGCTGTTGCCCCCCCCAACACCCCGAGTGTGACTGTTGCCCCCCCCAACACCCCGAGTGTGGCTGTTGCCCCCCCAACACCCCGAGTGTGACTGTTGCCCACCCCAACACCCCGAGTGTGACTGTTGCCCCCCCCAACACCCCGAGTGTGGCTGTTGCCCCCCTCCCCAACACCCCGAGTGTGGCTGTTGCCCCCCCCCAACACCCCGAGTGTGACTGTTGCCCCCCCCAACACCCCGAGTGTGGCTGTTGCCCCCCCAACACCCCGAGTGTGACTGTTGCCCCCCCCAACACCCCGAGTGTGACTGTTGCCCCCCCCAACACCCCGAGTGTGACTGTTGCCCCCCCCCAACACCCCGTGTGTGGCTGTTGCCCCCCCCAACACCCCGAGTGTGACTGTTGCCCCCCCCCAACACCCCGTGTGTGGCTGTTGCCCCCCCCAACACCCCGAGTGTGACTGTTGCCCACCCCAACACCCCGAGTGTGACTGTTGCCCCCCCCCAACACCCCGAGTGTGGCTGTTGCCCCCCTCCCCAACACCCCGAGTGTGGCTGTTGCCCCCCCCCCCAACACCCCGAGTGTGACTGTTGCCCCCCCCCAACACCCCGAGTGTGACTGTTGCCCCCCTCCCCAACACCCCGAGTGTGGCTGTTGCCCCCCCAACACCCCGAGTGTGGCTGTTGCCCCCCCCCCCCAACACCCCGAGTGTGACTGTCGCTCCTGGCTGGAGACAATTTCTGTCCTCTCCGGACTCATCACGTCACGCAAGTGTTTATTTTCTCACAACTTGAGAAATGAGTGGTGTGTGTGTGTGGTTTTCTTTTTGCAATCTCAACTCGGGGCTCGCTGTTTGTGAGAATCTGTGTCGGCACATGAATCATTAACCATAGCCATCCCACTCCTGTTGGACTTTACACTTTGGGGTCCTGAGATTGGAGTGAACGTCACTCTGCTGCCCTTCCTCTCACTCCTTTAAAGCTCCGTGGCTACACTGGTCGTGTCCTTTCTCTTTAACAAACAAAAAGCGCAGCCTCCGGTTCAAACAACATTCGGTGCCGTAAACAGTCAACACACACAAAGAAATTAGATTTGAATCAATCATGAATAGGATCCTGTCTCTGACCATCCTCATCTGTGCCGTCCTCTGCGCGGCTGCGAAAAAAGGTAAGTTACCATTTGGATTGTAATCGCACCTCTTGGCCCCGCTGTCAGCCTGCGGCGTGGCATTTTCGAGCGCCGTTCGTGGAAATCTGTATCGCTGCTGATGATGCGTGTTCTTTTTGAATGCTCTAACAGTTTGCCCATTGCGTTTTCGATCGCGGATTTTTTTGTGCCTTTCAAATATTTGTTTCATGTGTGAAGGCATTCGTAATAGTGCTGAACGATTTGGGGGAAATATCTAATTGGGATTTTTCTGACAGATATTGCGATTTGATTTGCGATTTGATTATTTAAAGTCAAGCTTCAGTTCGATATTCACTGTGTAATAGATTTAAAACATGTGATGGAACATTACCACATGATACCATCTAAATATAAATTGCTCTATATATTCTAATGCAATGTTGAGAACTTAAAAATATATGAATTTCTTCCAACATGTATTTATTAAAATGTTTTAATTGAAATAGAACAATAAAACATAGAACAGTTGTTAAGTTAAATAAATAAAGTTATAATAATACAAAATAAAACAATTACAATAAGAAAGTAATAGGACTTATCAAATCGAAAAAAAATCGCAGCCTTTGCGATTTGCTAATCGCATTGTTTAAAATTGCGATTTCTATTTGAAATCGATTAATCGTTCAGCCCTAATTCGTGAGTAGTCATTCGTCCAGCGCCTCTCGAATTGTTGACTTGTCTGCCAAAATCTTGCCAGTTATAAATGTCATTATTAATGTCATCTTTAAAAAACTGCTGGGAGCTCTTTTAAGACACCAAAGTGATTTCCAAAAGAAACGTGGGCTAACAAAAAATACATGAAGAAAACTTCATGCACAAAAAACGTCGAGCTGTCTTCATACAAGGCACACCCTGATAATTACTCGTGTTGGATTCAAATCGATAAGTACGAACAGTATAGAAATCGTCAAATACAAGTTGACGTATGAAACGCCAAAACACTCAAAATAAACTAATTGCAAAGTGTGGTTATGCCATAAAGTACACGTCATGCTGTACTGCTCTACGTTCTTGGAAATGCAGACTCTTCCGTGCCAGGGAGCACCGACAGAAACACCTTTCCACTACATTCCTACAGTGTCAGCCGAGCCATCGGAGGCTTTATTTTTTACCTACGTGACTTTACCGAATAGAACCAAAGGGTATGGATCCTTGCAGTCACGAAAGCTTCAAATCTAGAATAAATAAACAGCTGTTCAGATATGTTTCCCCCACCTCCGATTTAACACGGCCACGTACGGTGCGAAAGAGGTTCAGCACGCAGTAACGCACAGAGACATGCATGCTCATCTGAGTTCCCTTGCAGTGCAACGGGAATGGACATTCGACAATCCACTCTGCCACGTGTGCACACGACGTTGGGCTGCCGAGAGTAACCAGTCAGCACTGTCCCCGGCATCGAGATGGCATCGTTCCAAAGGGAACAGGGGGGTGGGGGTGGTTGACGGCTGAGCCTCAAATCCTCGCATAGTTGGGGCCCTTCTCTCAGGCCATCGTTAACTTGAAATCGTGGTTATTTTAATTGAGCACCCTTTTACATTCCACGCTGGATCACCTGGTTGACATGCCTGACTCAGTCAGGGCGCATTCACACGTTGGCTGATGCTGTTTTTAGTTTACAACACCCAAAGAGTGGATATGGGGGGCGGGGGGGGCGAAAGGTTGCCGCAGTACGGAGTAGACACGGCGGCACTAGCGATAATCGTGGCGTTTTACCTTTACCCCAGCGGCCACGCATGGTCCAGGAGCCAGAGGTGGAGTCGTTACACCACCTACCTTGACTTCTGACCTCAACCAAATAGTACTCCCACTAATCAGGGTTTAACTCTCTTATCTGATAAAGCAACATTTTTTAAAACAGTTTTTATTTATTTAATGAGCTGGACTTGCTTTCTTTTAGAAAGTGTTTTCTCAATAAGTGATGGATTGTATGTCTAAATGTCTAACAGTTACCCTTATTTCTTATTCCTTGGTTAGTTCGTTGCATCAGGGCTTCACTTATTCGGTACCAGATGATCACTGAGCTGTGGCCAATGGGTGTTATTTAATTTATTGTTCACCTTTATCTCAAACAGTGGCAACTGGAAGAAAATAACGTGATTGGTAATTTTTTTTTTCATAGAATTAGAAGTGAGTGTGAAATGTGTTTTTCATTCATCAAATGTAGCTTCATGACACAAAGAGGTTACGCAGAAAAAACTTGTAACAAATGTCAATCACATGTTCAAAATATAATCTGCAATAATTCCTTCAAACACGAATACATATATAAATATTTGTTTCCAAAATCCATTTACAGGAACGTTATTTTCATGCAAATTGAAATGTTATGTGAATGTATTAAAGCCTATAGCAAAATTATTTAAAATGGTTATACGGGAGAGACAAGATGAATCATGGTTCAGCAGGTCGATGAAGCTAGACAATAAGCCAGCAGTGAGCCACTGAGGCAATTGTTAGAGAATTTGAATATGATAATTCTGTTAAAAATGTTATCTAAATATCTAGGCAAGTGTAATTGAGTCCCAAGATTATTTTCAGAAACATTCTGCACTGGGTTGTTTTAAGTTACACAATTATGGTCAATCACGCACACGACCAGATTCTGATGCACCCGCCCGCAGTGTTAATCCTCAACCCCGTGTCACGCGCCCCTCCCCCTCCGCCGACCCAGATGGCCCGATCTCGGGTCGCTGGCGCGGGGGACGTCGCTACACGTACGCCTACAGCGCCGGCGTGGCGACTGGGCCCGAGGCGACGGGCCCTGGGGGCCGGCACGTGGCCGGGGTGAGCCTGGACGGGCGCGTGCACCTCGCCGTGCTGTGGTCCAGCAAGGAGCAGCAACTTTTGAGCGTCGCGGTGAGTGGGCCGCTCGCTCGGCGCCGCGGGGAGTCAGCCCGACGGCGAAAGCCGGCTCACGTTCGAGCGCTTCATTGACGTTTTTCATTGCTTATGAATGTTATACGAAGGCGCGTGACAATAAGCTGCCACGCCACCCCGTTACCCCGACAACCAGCCAGCAATTCGATGAATCGTCATAATTTAGAGATTGTGATTCAATTCAAGAATTTGTTCTTTCTGTTGCTCTTTTTCCGTCTCGTTTGTATTGTTCATTTCGTTTAAGTTTGCACAGTTTAGTTTTCTTCTCTCCGCTAGCCTAAATGTAACGTTAGTACGTATATAAAATGGATAAATGTTTCATAAATTGGACAATTGAATTTCACACACTTGATTCAGTGCATGCATTGGAAGCGTTGGAATTGTTTTGAACCAAGGAATTGATGCATCGTTACATGCCTGTTTACACTCATACATTTGGCTCAAGAAATTTGCTGGACATATTCGGCAAACGCATCCAGACATTTATGCGGCCAGTCCCTCCACCATCACAACAATGCTGGAATGCACACTATGTTGAGAACATCAGAGGCCGGTGCACAGTTTGGGTGGATTACGCTGTCCCCCATCCACCATGCAGCCCAGATCTGGCGCTCTCATGTTTAATTTGTTTGGCTCCTCTGGCGAGATGGCCTATGTGGACAATGTATTTATAACGATGCCGTGGTACAGTATTCCCTTCGCAAACGTTTATTTGAAGCCGATTAAACGCTGGCCCTGATTCCTCATTGGTGCAAGGGCATAGAAAAGGTTGTAGGCTATGTTTAAAATTAGCCAAATGTACATGCCATTCCAATGAATGATTAACATTTTGTATCAGATCAATAAAAGTTTTTGAGATACAAAAACAAGAGGCATTACTTTTGGACATCCCTTGGACAACCCTTCAATTGTATGCTCTTAGTTATTTGATCAGAGTTAAATTTGGTTTAGACTAATTATTTTTGTGAGGTAAAAGTGCCTTCACATATATTTCGGAAATTTTTCTAAAAAATATTTAGATTTTAATTTTATCTTCCATTGGAGTTGAATGTTACGTTTTTGTAGTCGACGTATATAAGCCAGAGAAACTGCAATTACATTGACTCATTATTTTGGTTTTGTAGTGATATTTACGCTTGTTACTTTGCAATTTTCACTCAACCCAGGTTTCATGTTCCGCACATATTTTAACAGCACAATACAGTGAATAATATTGCTAAACTTGAACCCCTTGTTATGCACTTCGTGTTGATTGATGAGCCTAATTCCTGTTCAAGGAATCATCAAATGACGCGAGCGTGTGCCTTGCTCTCAGCTGAGCGACGTGCACTTCGGGAACGTGTCGGAGCGAGCGGCCAATCAGGACGCTGTGAGGGCGGCGGGCGGAGACGGAATTCTGGGAGCGGCCGGGATGAAGGCCCTTCAAGTTCCCACGCTCGTTCTCATCACCCAGAACAAGGTGAGCCAACGCCGCTCACCGGCACGCGTACCCGTGGGTGATGGAGCTGGAGGGGTGGAGGCGCATGAGAAGGATGGAGAGTCTGAGGTGACACCATGCGTCTTGGCAATACCCAACAGGGAAAACAAAATCTGCACTTGTTGTGTAGAGAAGCTGTAGCTTAGCTCCAGACATCTTTGTTACAGGTTCTTATCTGAGACTCAGATCACACGGTACTTTCTCTAAATCAATCCCTAAGATAAGAGCATCTATCCGCTTAAGGAATGTATAGCACATTATATGATTAAGGTAATGCAAGTTAAATTTTAACAAAAATAAAATACGAAGACGACGTACGTTTTACCATTAAAATGAAGTCAATTTGTCCCAACCCCTGTTCAGATGGATACAAATTTTCGTGGGTATGGGCTAAATGTATTATTGTTCGTCTTCCCAGTCTGCCAAGTGAGAGGGCTGGCAATAGCCCCCTACTCCCCTGTGGTGCAATATGCAGGTACACGCACCTGCCAGCTCACGAAAGCATTCGCTCAACCTTGCATTCACTCACCCACTCACTCACAAACTCACAACTCCAAATCCTCGGTCTCTGTGTGCCTGCGCACTCCATTCTGACCACAGCGGGTCGTGCTTTTCTGCTAAGTTGGGGAGCAATAGCCCCCCCCCCCTCCCCCGGTCCCCCAGCATATGGTGGTGGACACGCCAGATTGCGTGAACTATCGTCACCGCATCCGATGTATGTACGTATGTATGAAGAACTCCTTTAGAACTGTACGTAGCCAACCGTGCTCATTTACCATTGTATGTTTGCACTCTGATCGTGCTTTTTGTATTGTTGTAAAGTTCTGACCTGCCCCAACTGGACATCAGTAAAAAAAAATAGCTTTACAGGTCATCGGATTCCTCCGGTATAAATAAATGTACTAATTCTGTGGTCGTTGCCGCGCGACTGCGGCGACGCGCAGGTGGAGGGGCTGTACGTGGAGCCGGGGGAGCCCGTGGTGGTGGAGAACTTGAAGCGGGGCCTTGTGAGCCTGCTGCAGTTCCAGCTGTCGAGCGGAGAGGCCACCGAGGTGAGACCCGCGGTGCCCTTGACGGTCACTGCAGGGGTAGGGGAGTGGGGGGGAGGAGGAGGGTACCACGAAGCGGTGTCAATTCTGGCGGGGGGGGGGGAGCACTAAGGGGGCACTAACGAGTAATGGGAGGGGGGGGGCAGGTCCCCATGCCCACAGCCTCAATGTCGTACCACTTGCCGGTTGGCGAACGAAGACATTATAAGGTCGCGCTCATTACACACAAAGTGCTTGCCACAAATGAACCAGAATACCTTGCTGATCTCAACATGGCGCATAAACCATCACACGATCCCTAGTCATCCTCACAGCAGTGGCTTTTGACTGGCCATCGAACAAAGATGGTCGCCGCATCGTGCACTTTCAGATGCGCTTCTGCGGCCGTCTGGAACGCTCTCCCTTCCGATATTATGAAGCCACCGGAGCTATGCACTTTAAAATCTACATTGAAAATGTATTTCTTTAGAACTGTTTTTGTGTTTAGTTTAGTTGTCCTTCCAGTTGGCACGGTTAGCTATGTACTGTTGGATGAAGGCCTTCCAAGTCTATGCAGGTCATGAGGATTATTTGACCATACTGCACTATTTAGGTCAGAGCGGGCTGGTAGGGGGACGGATGGTGATGAAAAGGCCAGGACCGGTTCTGCATCATCTCCGATTAGCATGGTTGGCTACGTACGGTGCAAAAGAAGTTCAACATAATACAAATACAAAGATCCCCCCTATAACCTTAACAGACTTTTGGGGCAAGTTCTGTCAGCGAGCACCTATGAAGGCCGGCACAACACATGAAGGGGTGGGTGGCCAACACCACGCCCGGCCACCTTTGTCTCCCCAGTGGCGATGTTTACACACCACAACAGGTACTCATTTGAGGCTGAGTCGACCTATGGGAGGCCCAGTCCAGATAATAGTCACTGGTGTTGGCCAAGAGCACAAATCAAACTCGGGTCGCCTGGTTCGCAGCTCGCTACCCGCTACGCTAACATGCATCACGCACGCGCAATGTACGATGCACCGCTCACTGTGGGAATTAAGAGCGATGTCTCTCAAGTTTTTGTGCTCGTTCTGTTTTCTCTCGCGTCATCGTCTCAGATCGATGTGTCCGGAAAGTGCAAGGTCACCTACGAGGTCAATTCGGGTCAGGTGACCAAGGTCAAGGACCTGAAGAGTTGCAGCAACCATCAGAACGCGCCTTCCGCAACTAACAAGGTGCCGTTGCAGTGAAGGGATGTGATTTTATTGCATTAGCGTCAACAATAAAACATTTTGAAGGCATTTCTTTTTGCCTGGGTGCGGCGAGCAAATTGTACATGCACATCGCAGAGACGTATCATCGCTCTCTACTTTGTTCGAAGTTTTTGTGAGGCTTAAGATTTCATATGGAACAAATCATACCCTCCCCAGACATTCAATGAATTTTTGCACTTCACACGGTCACGATTCAAAAATACATTTTGGGTGTTTTTTTTTTTACCACTGTGCTGAATGATAGCAGCTGAAGTGGCGAGAGCGCCAATGAACATATGAATCAAAACACATTCATTCTTACGCACACGTTTCTATGAATGTAAACGGAGCTTAATCATTGACATCAGTCAATGCACTGTTACACCCAAAGGCGCCTTCAGGTCAAAGTAGAGCTTCTGGGCTGCACTTTAAGTTGTCTTCTCTCGCGAATTTGTGTTGAGTTCTTTCACCGTCTTCTTTGTATTGCTTCCATCTTCTGACTCATTTGCACTATTTTGTCCGAGCACCATGAGTCCCAAACACAGAGTTATCACGTAATGTGCATAGCATTTATTTTCACACACGCAATTCAACGTGTGTATCGTGAGCGCCAGAATCGTCGTAATTTGAGTGAATGGATGCATCGTTGAACAAAACGCGGGAGGTGCCAGTGTCGCTGCATTCACACACTTAAAATGCGCCCAGTGGTAGGGCGGTCGTGGAGATTCGCGGTTAAAGTCCAGCAGCCGCCCTGGTTAATACTGCCATGTGTTTTGTCATCATCCTTAAAACATGGCATGCCCTCTGCGTTGAAGATCCCACAGTGTCGTTCTCAGGAGTAGGCCATTGTGTGTGCTCCAGCATCATGGTCCACATTTGCCATGTTTTAAATGTTACCCACAAGTTGATCATTTGGAATACGAGTGCAAGGTACTAATTTGAGTACCTTTCGAACTGCTTTTTGTGTTTAGTTTGTTGTCCTTCCCCCGCACCTCCGATTAGCACGGTTGACCGTGTACGGTGTGAAAGAAGTGCAACGCACATACACAACAACAAAAAGATCCCCCGTTTAGCTTATTACAGACTGTAGGGACAAGTGCTGTTAGCGAGCACGAGGGGGCGGGTGGCCAGCGCCACGCCCGACCGCCTTTGTCTCCCCAGTGGCGACGTTGACACACCGCACCAGGTACTCATTTGAGGCTCAGTCGATCTAGGGGAGGCCCGGGACCGGTTTAGATAATCGTCACTGGTGTTGGCCATGAGCGGGAATCGAACCTGGGTCGCCGGGTTTATAGCACAGCGTGCTAACCGCTACACTACCGCTCCCCACATATATACATACGTACATATTTACACACCCTACTTCGAAAACGTAACAGTACCCTCCTGAGTAAAAAGCCACGCGACTCCCTGAGGATTTCCACTTGGCGTAATTCTCACAGCCCACGCGCGACATGCCACGTGGCAGCACCTGTGTGGAGCAGTGCAGGACTTGAGTGCTGCTGTAACAGAATCACAGGGCTGCATGAGATTGAGGGCAATCGCTTGCTGATAAGGCATGCTTACCCCCCCACTGAACCTTGATCCGAGTTCAAGAGATGAAAGTCGTAAAAATTATATATTATTCTAAGCTTGTTCTTTGCTTATAATCCACAGTCTTTTTTCTACATCTTTGGCCATATGAATCACCCACTTGGCCACAATTCAGGGAAATGAAACACGTGGAAGAGAGCTCGGAATCGCATTATGACAAAAAGTCGTGAACTTTATGCCAAATTTAAATCAATTCAAATTGCAGTGTTTGAAGAGCGTGTGCAGGCGATGTAAATTGGATAATGTGCATCATACATATATACAGTGAGCTATGGATGAACGTGTTAGACGTTTGACGGGCCAGTAGTCTAAACCAATGGGATTATCTTTCGTTGCAAGCTTCTTATTTAGAAATCAAATAGTTAATCTATAAATCGGCACATTTGTCCAGAGCTCACCTGCACAGGATATAATAGTTTATGGTTAATACTCGTTGACAATGAGCTGCTACCTATATACATCCACCTCCTGTCCACCTACTGGACGTCTGTGTAAATACGTATTTTGATTCTGACCTCCTATAGAAGTAATAGACGATATGTTGACAATCATTGAAAGTAAGCGCGTTTGTGCAGGACGTGCCCCTCGAAGGGACAGTGGCCAGTGGTCAAAATTAACAATGGACTTGCGGCCAAAGGAGAGAACATATCCAGTGTGAAGATGGAGTGATTAAATCAGCTCGTGTGGAGGTGTCGGATGGATGGATTGTTGTGTCGCATGCCTGTGAGAGATAGCGACAACTTGGTTCGGGATGTGTTTAACCAGCAGTGGAGAGACCATGACTGATGATGAAGCTGAATACTCCGCCCCCCTCCTAGGTGCTCGGGTTAGAGTGGAGCCCAAAGAGTGTGGCGTCGTACACTTTTGAGAGCGGTTTGCTGAAGTCTGTTTCGCTGGAAGAGACGCACAGCATCACCCTCAACATGCGCACTGAGGTCGGGAAGACGGTGGTGAGCAGGTACGAAGGGGAAACTCGGCCTCGGTCTAAAACTAAACTGAACTAATTTTTATCTTGCCAGGTAAGGACCACTGAGCTATGCAGCTGTGTTGTCAGAAGCGACCTGGCCACGAATGATAGCTCAACTAAGTGGCTTATCACGTTGGAATGTACGGCAGCCGCATAATCTAAACGCACGTTTCTAAATGTGGAGGGGAAAAAACAAGAGGACCCGGAGAAAAATCCACACGACCACGGGGAGAAAAAAACACGCAAACTCCAAATATACAGCAGGCGTCAGGGTCGGGATTGAACCCACGACCTCCTGCATACCAGGCGAGGGAGAGAGAGTGTCACACAACGCTCTCGTGGTTATTGTCGCCAGATCCAACCGCGGGGATAATGAGTCAAAAGGGCAGAATGAGGCCCGTACAGTCCTTCCATTTATGACCGCACTGGAGGGTGCGGAGACTTGGGGGTAAATGGTGCCATGAACCAAAAATCGTCTCTGCCCATTGCCATGTTTCTTGCAATTGTCGTTAGGGCTACACATTTTCAATGTAAAAATACCAGATCCATTGTTATTGTTATCACACAAATAAAGGACATTATTGCTACTTAAAACCAATAATGCCCTTAATGAACTCAGGAAAGCCTCCCCAAGTCTTAAGACTTTTGTCTGGGAGAGTTCTCCATTCGGATGGTTGGCCAATTCATATAACGAGTAACTTATGGAAGAAAACTGGAAAATCTGTAAAAAGCCCACAGTACGCAGACAAGACTCCGCAGAGTTACATTCAATGCTCCATCACCGTAGTGCCATCACCTGGCCACCTTGCAGCTCTTGCCGATATCAGAAATCTGAATCTTTATTTATACTTAAAGAATCCCACGAGCTTTGAAGCTCTTTTTCACAGATGTCCAGTAGGGGCGGGTCAGAAAGTTACAGCGACAAACAGTAAGAAAGCTGATAGGAGTGCAAAGTATATGAATGGTAAGCAAGTCAATTAAAAAATAATGCGTATATATATAGCACCTGACACTCCCTGGCAGTCTGCCATCCAAGTATCAACCGGGCTCAGCCCAAATTTCGCTTCTGAGATGTGAACTTTGACTGGGACCGCGCTCACTCGTGTCCGCTCTCTCGCCACCAGCCTGCTCGTGCGTTCAGCCGTTCCCTCGCTCCCCCCTCCCCAACGCGTGGCGGCGCCCATAACTGGTGGCGCTTCCCCTCCGCATGCCCCGCTGCGCCGTGCAGGCAGCGGCTGGAGATGCTCTCGGCCGAGGGCGGCGCCAAGCAGCTGAAGGCCAAGACGGCCGAGGAGGCTTTGGCGAGCGCTGGCGGGCAGCACGCAAGCCGCCCACTGCCGTCCGGGAAGCCGCGCCACGAGTGCGCCAGCTGCCCCTCTGTAAGCGCTTGACTGTCAGCTTCCGATTGCCGCTGGACCGAGTGTCGCCAAATGCTCGAAGCGGAAAAAGTCGGCAAGCTAACGTCACTGGAACATGTATGAAGTACAGTAGTCTGACGGTTAATGGTTTTAATCCGTTCCACGGAAACTGCTGTGAACCAAAATCGCTATTAATCGAATTCACTTATAAGTTTAAAAGTAAGTTAAAATAGCTGAGTCTGCAAGAAAGCTGTTTCCACGACCAAAACAGAAAACATAATGTAAACAAAGCCGGTCGAGGTCTTAACGCTGAGGGCATGCCTCAGCCCCGACTTACAAGTGCTCGGATTGGCTGAAATTGCTAAACGACCGTTAATCAAAATGTTAATGTCAGTCGAAACCAGGGGGTCCTATGGGAGGCGAAACGTTAACCGAAAATCTGTTAACCGATGCCACTGTTAACCGATGCCACTGTTAACCGATGCCACTGTTAACCAATGCCACTGTTAACCGATGCCACTGTTAACCGATGCCACTGTTAACCGATGCCACTATTAACCGAGGGATGACTGTATTATCCGTAGGTAAACTGACACAGGACTTGGAATTGCTCCTAAATCTGTGTGATGTCCTCGTCCCGCATAGTTGGCAACACTGCTCTGCACACACCGCAGCTATCGCCCAGTGGCCTTCGCTTTTGGGGGGGGGGGAGGGGGTTTTATAATAGGTACGTGGTCAGTTGGTTTGGACGCGGCTCGGCATTCTCAAGGCTCCTGAGGCTGGCTTGTTTGCCTCTAGCCTAGAGACCCAAACAGAAACGAGTTTGCGATCTGTTTGCCAGACACCCCGTCCATAAATCACTTTGTTGGTCTGCTGTACGGGATCAGTCCGCATGAAGTACTGTCAGACTTTCGTCGAAAAACACGATCAGAGAATGAGTTGTCAATTTAGTGCGTATAAGCCCTGTGAAAGACAGGTTTGTCAATCCATTCGTTACAAACCCCATCAAATACCTACTAGACACTGCTCTCTCAGTCGATTGGCTAAATATATATCTTGCTTAAAGTTTACATATTTGTAATATCCATAGATCCCATCAGATACCAATTAGCCAGTACTATCTATTTACTACTCTGTCAATGCATTGCTTAAATACCTTATCAGAGACTTATTTATAAACCAGTTGCCTAGAGGCCCAATCAGTAACTAGTCTGACAGATATTCGTATGTAATTTGAAAAGTACAGCACAAGTTTAAAACTGCGTGTTGAGTTTGGGAAGCCATTCAATGGCATCTGGGGTTGCCAGATGGATTATATTTGAACCTCCTATAAAAGTGTTTGTGGGGCAATGATCGGTGATGTGAGTGATGAATCACGTTAGGGACGTCTGAGAGTGAGTGACCTAAAGACCCCATCAGTGACCAGTCTTTTGTTTAGAAACACCACCAGCAATCAGTATGTCAAGTGAGTTGTCGAGAGCCCGAATCGCAGACTGTTCCATCAATATATTGCTGAAAGACCACTTTAGATACCAATCTGTCAGTCTTGTATCCAGAAACACCATTGGTGACAGGCCTGTCAGCAACTGTTTATAAACCCCATCAGAGACAAGTCGAGCATGTTATTGTCTAAATAGCGCCCATCAATTAAGCGGTCTGTCGGTCGCTTCCCCAAAGACAGTCGCTTGCCTAAAGACTCCCTATTGATAGCCGCTGGGTGGTGGGGCTTCTCTGTAGGCAAAGAAGCAGCTGAGCGCCGTGAGGAGGCACCTGCACCCGGAGACGCTGTCGCAGACGGTCACCACGCGCAGCTTCCTCATGCTGGTGCGCGCGTTCCGCGGCGCCGAGTACGGCGAGCTGCTGCGGCTGCTCGAGGACGAACCCAAGGACACGCTGTGAGCTCGCGGAGGCGGCGGGCACGGCGCACCGCGCAGGGGCCACGCGCTCGTATTGTGTCTGTGTGTGTGTGTTTGTCTCGTGTGTGTGCGGAGAGCGGTGTCGCGAGGTTCACAGCTGGCGCATCTGGCCAGTCATCTAAAGTCGACCCATGGCACCTGCTGGGTCCGTCCCCCGTGACCTCCTGCCAGCAGCGAGCCTTCGACACTTCAAATGGCCACAAAGTGCGCCTGGCCTGGCACAGGCGCCGTGCTGATGTCACCGTCACTTAGTGGCGAATGGCGGATATTGGTATCGGTGTAGAGCGATGGCGTAGCGGTTAGAGCGCTGCGCTACGAACCGGGTGACCCGAGTTCGATTACCGCTCACGGCCAACACCAGTGGCGATTTTCTGGACCGGTCATGGGCCTCCCCTAGGTCGTCTCAGCCTCAACTGAGTACCTCGTGCAGTGTCTAAACAATGCTGCTGGGGAGACAAAACTGGTCGGGCGTAATGCTGGCCACCCACCCCCTCGTGCAACGTCCAAACCTTCATAAGTGCTTGCTAACAGCACCTACCCTACAGTCTATGAAATGCTGTAACATCAGTGGCGGGTGATATTCAAACCGCTCACGGCCAACACCAGTGGCGATTATCTGGACCGGTCATGGGTCTCCCCTAGGTCGGTCATGGGCCTCCACTAGGTCGTCTCAGCCTTCAATAAGCATCTGGTCTGGTGTGTGATCATGACTATCATCAATCGTTCCGTTGATGATCATCATCGTCCATCAATTCATTATTATCCTCATCCGATAATGCCATCAAATATATTTCGTTGTTATCAATCGAATTATCAACATTAATATTATTAAATACAGTAGTAATTGATTAAATAATCATGATTATTAACCACCCATCAGCACCAACACCATCATCGTCAAATATTATATGATCAAATTATCATAGAATCATCATCATATGATAATTTTAACATGATCCAACAATTAATTTCAGTCATCCTCATTGTCAGCCAGGAATAAGAACCATCGACTTGTCATCCAATCATCATTTTATCGATCCACCACTGCCATAGCCGTCATCATTAAAGCATTTGCCGCGCGCACGCCTCGCTCGCGTGCGCTTTCCCCGCACCGCCCGCCCAGGCTGCAGCTGATCGACGCGATGAGCGCCACGCAGACCGACGCGTCGCTGCGGGCGCTGCTCCACTTCCTCGACCTGTCCCAGGGGAGCATGGCGGAGGCTCACGAGCGCTTCCTCTACGCCTGCGCCTTCGCCACCAAGCCCTCGCAGCAGCTGCTCTCCGGCCTGCTGGTGAGCCCCCGGGGGCTCGCTCCCCCCCACCCCCCCACTGACACGGCCAGTTCGGTGGCGTGGCTGGCCAAGCGTGTTGGCGGTGCGGCTGCGCGAGGTGGTCCCACGAGCCGCAGGGTGGGGGGGGGGGGGGGTCCCATGCTCCCAGTAATTACAAAGAGAGGACGTTGGAGAGGGGATGCCCCATCGCATTGCCTTGCATGGGAGTCCACGCCATCCACGCAATGCCACTGCATGCGGTGTTAATGCAAAAGTCTAGAAAAGCCAGAGTGGGACGCCACGGTGGCGAGATGTTAACTACCTCGCCTGGTATGCAGGAGGCCATGGGTTTGATGCCGACTGACGCCTGTGTATTTGGAGTTTGCATATCTATCTCTCCGTGGTCCGCATTCAGAATTAAAATCACGTGTTAAGAGTATTTGGCTGCTAGAAATTTCCACGTGGTAGCCACTTCGTTGAGCTATCATTTGCGGTCAAGTCGCTTCTGAAAATAAGCTGTATAGTTCAGTGGGCTTTACCTGGTAAAATAAAAACAGTTAAAGTAAATATTTTTGTATTTGAAATTGTTTAGTTTTTATTTGAATAGTTTTTTTTAAATGTCCTGGGGTTCAGTAAGTAGGATAGTTATTCAGTGTGCACGTGATGCAACTGCACCAGGGCCCATAGGCCAGAGGGGTCCAGGCCCCGCTCTATGACATGGGGAGGAGAAATTGGAACGGGAGGCGGGGGGGTCCATGCCATTCCTTGATGGCATGGACGCCCCCCCAGGAGATCGAATCGGCGACCTCTGCATGACAAGTTCAAGCGTGCTAACCATCGCTGCACGGGTACATACGCTCAGACAACCGTATAATTTTCCAAGGCGTTATATTCTTACGGATTTGTTTGTCTCCGCGTCAGGACAAGCTGAAGTTGCCGATCGCTCAGTCGGAGACGAGCGACACGCTGGTGATCGTGATCGGGGCCCTCGTCGGGAAGCTGTGTCAGGCGGGGCAGTGCGATTCTGCGGTAAGAGCCCTTTGCCCCGTCCACATCTGCGCATTGCAAACGCGCCGCCGTCCGCTCGCCAACAGCGGCGGCAGCAACTTCCCACGTCGTCTTTGTCCCCCCGCCCGCACCGTCCGCGTGCAGCCGGTGGTGGAGGCGCGGGAGCTGCTGTTTGCGGGGCTTGAACGCGCCGCCTCGGACACGGAGGGTCAGGCGTTCCTGCTGGCGCTCAAGAACACGCTGCTGCCCGACACGGTCGGCGTGTTCGCGCGGCACGCCGAGGTCGGCTCGGGCGCCAGCAGCGTCATCGCCATCTCCGGCCTCCAGCGGTTTCCCGATGAGCTCATCACGCCGGAGGTGCGGCCGACACAGACAAATATCCCACCCCCCTTCCACCGTGTAACCTCCAGAGGCTGTTGGGGCAAGTGCTGTTAGTGAGCATCTATGAAGGCCGGCGCGGTACACACGATGGGGGTGAGTGGCCAGCACCACGCCCGACCGCCTTTGTCTCCCCGGTGGCGATGTTTGTACATCGCATCGGATACTCAATTTTAAGCTGAATCAAACTAGGCCCAGGACCGGTTCAGATAATCGTTACTGGTGGTGGCCGTGAACGGGAATCACAGTTGGGTCGTCGGGTTCGTAGCACAGCGTGCGAACTGTTGCACTACCGTTCCCCAGGTACAAACTCACATTTACACATGCACGTAAAGATATGCACACACATGCAGATGCAAGCAAACGTGCTTGCGTGTGCATTATTGAGGCCGGCAGGGCGTAGGTGTTGTGTCCAGAACCACGCCTGCCTGACTTTGTCTTCCCATTGTTTACTCGCTTCCCCACGTGCTCTTACACTGAGTAATGTTCGTCGTTAGGGGTGTCAAATAAATATTTATTTAATTCTCAGAGTGGTAATTGTGCTAAACGATGAGCCAATTTTTATTACGTGTTTTTTTTTCATGGTGCCTTCAGCATCCTGGCCGGGACTATTTTACAATTGCACTTGAGAAACCGCTTTGACGAGAGGCATCTGAAACCCAGACGCAATTACCAGGGATCCCCGCAGCGCTGGCTCAGGGTCTGCGACCGCTGAGCCGGCCGGGGCTCCTCCGCAAGCGGCTGACTTGCGCGGAACGCCGCGGCCGCCGCCGCCGCTGCTTCTGCTGCTGCCGCTGCCGCCGCTGCAGGTGCGGGCGGCGCTCAACAGGATCTACCACCAGAACCGGCGCGTGTACGAGAAGACGGTGCGCGTCGCCGCGATGGAGCTCATCCTCACCAAGCAGCCGTCCCTCGAGGAGGTGCGCAACATCCTGCTGTCGGTCGGCGAGCTGCCCAACGAGATGTCAAAGTTCGTGGTGGTGCGCATTAACGACCTCCTGCACTTCCGCCACCCGACCAGGTGCCCGTGATATCTCCCAACCCCCTCCGCCGTCCCTCCTGCCACACTTATCCCCCCCGACCCCCCGCTTCACTCCCTCCCTCCCACCCCTATTCCCAGTGCTTGCTTTCTCACTGGTTACTGGTAGGCTGGAGTGAGGAAACTTGACTCCTCGTATCGACGGCCATAACAAGAGGTATGCTGGATGTGGCGTGCCGCGAGCCGAAAAATACTGACCTGGTCACTGAGCCGGACAGACCCTGCTGAAATGAAACCCTGCCTACCAATCTTCATTTTTCCCTTCTAATGTGCCATCAACCAATTCGTTCAGTTGCAGGGGAAATCCTATTTCACCACATTCACATATTTTGCTATCTTTAGTCCCGCCCACCTACCCTTGGGTTGTACCCACCTCAAATGTAGAAAACCTTTGGCTCCAGTAGCTCTCACGCTACATTTCTTCCTGCCTCAGCAGTCCGCCTGCTGTATTTTCGTCACCTGAAGACGATTGCTTGTGTTGCGATCGAAACGTCGTGATCTATTAGTTATTTATCTATCTACGTGACTTCACCGAAAGAACCAAAGTGTATATTTTGCTAATTTAATCTGTAAAGATAAACGTGGGCGTGGATGGTGTTGCATTGTTCTGCCACATCCGGGTTACTTCTCCGATGTGCGGAAAGTTGCTGAGACCGGCAGGGTGGAGCATCGGCAAATAACAGCACGGGATAAACAAGATACAGTCCACATATATTTTTAACACGTAGCTTTTCACGAGACCAATATCATTATTCGGAATTTAGTGTCGGATCATTTGAGAAAAAATGTCTTTTGCCACACGACACGGCCAATTATAAAATGTGTCACGTCAACAAACGTGGCAATTTATGACTGCTTCAGCACAGACATTTAGTGACTGGTTCCAGACATTTTTTCTGGAAGTCACAACCAGCATCATCAGGCAGTTGCCAGAATTGTGAAAATATCTTCCAATCTAAATGAGATTATACAAATGAGACGAAGGAATTGCTTCCCGAGACAAACTGCGACCCCGAGGCGATGTGCGTCGCGCCCTCGGGGAGTGCATCTCGACGGGGCTGTCCGTATGAGCGCGTGCGTGTCCATGTGGCGAGCAGCCAGGTGATCAGACAGGTGCTGCGAGACCCCATTGTGCACAACTACGACCGCTTCGCCAAGACGGGCTCCTCCTCCGCCTACTCTGGCTTCATGTCCGGTCAGTGGGAGAGCGCACGCACAGCGAACGCCCATCAGGCCCACACCCCCCCCCCCCCGCCCTCTCCACACCCTGTACAGAGAATTGTTACGCGGTCCCGGTAATTCTGTGCAGCCCCTAGATTTTATTGGTCACTTTATAAGTGACCTCTTATTAATGGTCCTGTGATAATATAAAGTCGTAGAGCAGCGATGTAGTGGTGTTCACGCTGCACCTTGAACATTTAGGGCAATGGCCTTTCTCCATAATAGGAGTGTGAGGGCGATTTCCAAATAAACATAGCTTAGTTTATTGCTGTAATGATTGATTCGTATATGGAAAGATTCGTATAAATCACAATCCATGTATACAATTGTCGGTTGGAAAAATAATGTTTGATTGCTATACATGGTATATGTGGGGGGAGGGGGAGATGGTAGCACAGTGGCATGCGGCACTGCGCTATACACCTGGTGACCTGAGTTCAATTCCCAGCCATGGCTAACTTCAGTGCCAAGTGATAACTGAACCAACCCTAGGCATTCTCGTCCTAAGCGCACTCTGACCAGTCGCTGTAACTGATATGGAATAGGGAAGCCTCCATCAAAACTTGACAAAATCAAAACGACCCGATAATTACTCAATTAGGATAACGGATAGCAATCATCGCCCCCCTACTGGCAGACTAATGCACGTTTGCAGGCCAGGTGAGAAATTCAACATACAGTGTGGGCCATAAGTAAGTACCGAATTTGGTTTGCCTGTAACTTTTGAAAAATAAAATGAAAACACAAACTCTAAATAATAGAAAATTAGTTGATTCATGGAGACTCCATATAATTACATATGAAACCTGCAAATCTGTTTGTTGACGAAGCCGCTCAGGTGAAAATGAGCTTCATCTGACATTAAATTTGTATTGAAGCATCGTCTTGGTCTGCAAGTTCAATGAAAGTACACGAGTACTCTAGGAGGCTTTGATGGTCTCTGGCTTGCAATTCTTGCACCGGCTGAATCTTACATGGAAAAAGACGCAAGCCCTGTACCAAGATTCGCCGCAGCGATCCCCAATTGAGAGGAGCGTCTCCTCGGGGTTCTCATTGACACTCTCCCTTACCTTGCTCAATAGAAGTCGGAGATTGACCGGTTCGAGATCTGCCAACACGACGCTTTTTATCCACCATTGGTCCCGATTCCCGAAATCGAGAAATCAACGCCCGAGTACAGTGTGGAGTTGGAGCCGAACGGCTCTTAAAATATCTGCGAAATCATTTTCATATCCAGCAGTCTATGGAAAAAGGCTGTACATTTTAATTATATATACTATAAAATTAGATTATGTGGTTTAAAAAAGAGTAAGCAATTCTGTGCCCATATAAACCAAATCTCAAAAATGTTAAATTATTGACTATTGTTTTAAACCTCTGTAAAGTGCAACAATTAACTAAGTGCCCATAAAAAAGCACAGAGGATTAAGTTCAGTTGGATTTCATCCAGTTAACTGCAGGAAATTGAACTGAATTCATGCACTCAAGTACAAAAAAATCACCGGATCGATCTTAGCTCTTTTAAACCCCTCCCCACACCGTGTGAAACCAAGCACCCGTTTTTGGACTGACGAACGTTTTGAGTGAAACGGGAGGGGCGGCATCGTGAAATGGAAACGTGGAATCGCCTCGCAAAATGCTCTTGGGCAATGTATAGTCGAGGTGTCCCTAAAAAAAACATTGACTGTCCCGTCATTCGGTACAGAAACCAAGGACATGACCAGCACGTACAGCCTCAACATCCTCTACTCCAACTCCGGCATGCTCCGCAAGAGCAACATGAACATGTTCCTCTTTTCACACGAGGCCCAGCTGCACTCTGTGCAGGTGAGTGAGTGATTGAGCGATGGCTGGGTGGTTACTTAGTTGGGCGGTTAGGTAAGGTGACTGAGTGGGTAGCTGAATTGGTGGCTGAGTGGGTAAGTTGGCTGAGTGGCTGGTTGGGTAGATAACAGGGCAGGTGGTTTAGTGGTTGGCTGGGTGGGTAGTTTGTTGTTCTTCCCCTGCACCCCCTACGTACGGTGCGAAAGAAGTGCAACATACATACTTACATACATAGTTGGTTGAGTGTATTTGACTCAGTGTTTGGCTGAGTGGATGGCTGGGTTGTTATAGCTCTGCAGGTTACAGGCTGCTGCAGGGCTACGTGGCAGGCAGCAGAAGGAGGTGCATCAAAATCCATTATTGTACAGTACTTCTAACCAATCCACACTGACCAGCCCAAACCAATCTCGCGACTTTGGGGAAGGCCCTCACCTGGCAGCAAGAGGATTTAAAACTAAAGTGGCTGTACATCTGTGCGTGCATGTGAATGCGTTTATTTATTGACCAGGTGTCGCTGGAGGCTCAGGGACTGGAAGGGCTTATTGCGGCCACGCCGGACGAGGGAGAGGAGGAGCTGGACTCGATGGCGGGGATGGCGCCCATCCTCTTCGACGTGCAGCTGCGTCCAATCACCTTCTTCCGCGGCTACGGCGACCTCATGGCCAAGATGTGGGAGGCCACGGGGGAGCCGACCTCCGCCGTCAAGGGCATCATCCTGCTGATCGATCACTCGCAGGTGAACGGTGTGAGACGTGAGCAAGCGAAGAGAAAGATTCGGGAGCCCCTAGGAGCTCAAGGGGGGGGGGGCCCAATTCATGAAAAAAATATGGATACACCTAAATACCGGTTTGCATAAAAGGCAAATTAAACTCAAACTATAAACTGTTTTTATTTTACCAGGTAAGGCCCACTGAGCAATGTGGCTTCTTTTTCAGAAGTGACCTGGCAACGAATGATAGCTCAACGAAGTGGCTTAATGCGTTGAAATTTATAGCAGGCAAATACTCTCAAAGCATATAGTTTCTAAACACGACCACGAGGAGAACATGCAAATCCCAAATATACAGGTGTCAGGGTCGGGATTGAATCGCCGACCTCCTGTATATCAGGCGAGATAGTCGAAATCTCGCCACCGTGGCAACCATTTTTTTTTAAGTCTCGTTAATCTCTCTCGCGATCGTCTGTCCTGCAGGACTTGAGCCTGCAGTCAGGGCTGCGTGCAGACGTTGAGTTTCAAGGAAGCCTGGCCATCGACATCTCGGGCAGCATGGACGTCAGCCTGTGGAACCGCGAGTCCAAAACCATTGTGCGCAACAAGTACGTCACTTAGAGGAGGAGAAATAATCATTTTAATTCGTCGTTGTCATGTTCAGCGCTTTGTTGATTCAATGCTGCTGGATGGAGGAGTCCCCGTGCCACGTGGGTCATGGGGGTTGTTCGACCATACTTTGCCATCCTGGTTCAGCGCGGTTTGGTGAAGTGTGGACGACTAGGACTGTATCGGATATCAGTGGACAGTCTTGTTAGCCATGCCCGGATAAAGAACTCAGGTTGCCAAGCTTGTAGTGTAGTACGCAAATCACTATGCCGCTACACCTGTGGTGGAAATTCAACATTCATGTAATGCTGTGTGGAGAGTGGGCAGGGTAGAAGGGACGGTGGGGGGCTTGGGGGCAGTGGGGCGCAGTGGTTCACACACCGCAACATTCACATAATGAACTAAGTTTGATTCCTCGTCGCGACTGAGGCGTTTTTTTCAACTTTTTTGAGTCATCCAATTAGTCGAGCAACCAAACTGATTTCTGGTAGAGTAATCGATAAACGGGAAGCCCACGCTGGAATATAAATTCCACAAGCCACGGTCGATCGGTAACGTGTTTGCATCAACTCACTTTTCCTCGAGTAATGTGTTATGGTGATGCCTCTCAGCTTGTAATATAATAATAAACTATCCTGTGTTTGTCGCACGCACCCACTAGGGGTGCCTTGATGCTGTCCGGGGTGGTCACCGTGGCGCTGGGCCACCTGCAGGTGAGCAGCGAGCTGAGCGCCGAGGCGGCGGCTGGCATGGACTTCACCACCACCGTCAAGTTCAACTCCTACCCGTTCCTGGTGTGCATGCAGATGGAGAAAGACACCTTCCCCTTCAGGTGCGGGAGGACCGTCAACGTACACAACAATCATTTTTAAAGACTTCGTGGACAAACGGTGGCCGGTTGGTCGGTTGGTTCGGAGGTCGGCGCGGTGAGCTGGCACCGTTGAGATCCCCAATTTTGAATACATGCGGCGGTTACCTTCAATGACACCACGTTCTCAAGCGCGGTGAGTTGATGGCCTCAGCCCGGTCGTCACCAATCACCGTGGAAGTGAAAATGTTGAAAATAAACATCACATTAAATTTGTTTCTTCATCTTACTTGGCACAATTTGAGCTCTTAAGACTTTTAAATTATCTTCTTGACCGTCATGTGACACACATGTCGTGGCAGGGTGGGTGGGAAAAGTGCTGTCCCCAAATTGTGTGTACCCGATGTCATTTGAAGAGCCATCAGAGGTGTAGCTCTAATACCGGTATTGTGGGCCGTCCTCTAACACGAATGTCATGATGATGTCTTGGGGCCCAACAGGGAGGTGCTCACACAGTCGGAGGAGGTGTCGGGGCTAAAGATCCAATACAGCGCTCGCAAGGGACGATCCATCCTCATCCCGGGCTCCGAGTACCCGCTCCACCAGGACAACTCGGCCATGTGCCGCCGCATGCACCAACCCGAGGACAGTGAACCCGAGTGGTTTTGAGGCGCACACCCACCCACCCACCAACCCACCTACCCACCCACCAACCCACCCACCAAACCCACCTACTCACCCACTAACCCACTCACTCACCCACAAACTCACCAAGTCACCCACAAACCCACCCACCAACCCACTCACGCACTCACTCACCCACAAACCCACCCACCAAACCCACCAACCCACCCACCAAACCCACCAACCAACCCACCAAACCCACCCACCAAACCCACCAAACCCACCAACCCACCCACCAATCCACCCACCAAACCCACCAACCCACCCACCAAACCCACCAACCCACCCACCAAACCCACCAACCCACCCACCAAACCCACCAACCCACCCACTAAACCCACCGACCCACCCACCAAACCCACCCACACTCACCCACCCAACCCTTGGCCCCCCTTGGCCTCCCCCAGCCAGTGGCGGCGCTCGGCATGAAGCAAATCAAGGAAATGATCAGCGCCCCAAGCAGCTCAAGAGTGGCCCACCTCCCCCACCTCCCGGATTCGTGGCAGAAATAGGGGCGAGCAGCTCAAATTCAAATCCAAAAAACCATAGCAAGCGAATTGACGTACGACAGCAAAGATTTCTGCCTCGTCCCTGTCTTCCAAGTGGGGTATTGTGTGTCAGGCCACGTATTGAGCGTTTATTCTCTCAAGCTCCTGGAGATGCCTACAATAGCGTGTGACGAAAGCTTGAGAGGGGGAATGCTTAACACGCGGCCTAACCTGGAATACCGCACTTGGATTAGGAGTGGCTGCGATAAAGTGCTCATCAATGTGCTCATCCCTTCTCTCATCTAACACCATTATTGTCTCCTTGTCTGCATCTTTTTCATTTCACTGCTTCTCCATCTCATCTGCATCTCGAGTTCTCTCATGCCACTACATCTTTCTATCTTTTGTCTGCATCGCTCTACATTCTCTACATTTTCTGTCGCCCTGCAACGTCTCCATCTCATGTCGAAATCGCTTCTGTTATCTCACGGGGATGTTAGAAGTGGAAAGTGGTGAGGGGAGTGAAGGGTGGAAAGGGCCCAAAAATAAATCTGCTTAGGGTCCCCCTCCTCTCCCCCAATCGGCCAGCACCAGCGCTGCCCCTTGCAATCCCTTTAGCCGCACAGCCACACACACCAACAGCACGCGGTGACCACGTGGTGACCCTGCGGTGACCCTGCGGTGACCACGTGGTGACCCTGCGGTGACCACGCAGTGACCCTGCGGTGACCACGCGGTGACCCTGCGGTGACCCTGCAGTGACCACGCAGTGACCCTGCGGTGACCGCGCAGTGACCCCACGCGGTGACCACGCAGTGACCCCACGCGGTGACCACGCGGTGACCTTGCGGTGACCCTGCAGTGACCACGCAGTGACCCTGCGGTGACCGCGCAGTGACCCCACGCGGTGACCACACGGTGACTCTGCGGTGACCACGCGGTGACCCCACGTGGTGACCACGCGGTGACCCTGCGGTGACCACGCGGTGACCCTGCGGTGACCACGCGGTGACTCTGCGGTGACCCTGCGGTGACCCTGCGGTGACCGCATGGTGACCCTGCAGTGACCACGCGGTGACCCCACGTGGTGACCAGGCGGTGACCCTGCGGTGACCACGTGGTGACCACGCAGTGACCCTGCGGTGACCCTGCGGTGACCACGCGGTGACCCTGCGGTCACCCTGCGGTGACCACGCGGTGACCCTGCGGTGACCCTGCGGTGACCACGCGGTGACCCTGCGGTGACCACGCGGTGACCCCACGCGGTGACCGAACGGTGGCCCTGCGGTGACCACGTGGTGACCCCACGCAGTGACCGTACGGTGACCCTGCAGTGACCACGCGGTGACCCCACGCGGTGACCACGCGGTGACCCTGCGGTGACCACGCGGTGACCCTGCGGTGACCACGCGGTGACCACGTGGTGACCTTGCGGTGACCACGCGGTGACCCTGCGGTGACCCTGCGGTGACCACACGGTGACCCTGCGGTGACCACGCGGTGACCCCACACGGTGACCGCACGGTGACCCTGCGGTGACCCCACGCGGTGACCCCACGCGGTGATCACGTGATGACCCTGCGGTGACCGCGCGGTGACCCCACACGGTGACCACGCGGTGACCCTGCGGTGACCACGCGGCGTCCACGTGGCATCCTCCAAGGGCCACCTGACAAAACGACAGCAACCGTAGTTTTCACAGATCGCACCGAGATGATGTTCTGTTTACTTTACTAAACTCGAATGCCAGGCAACTGATAGAGGTGTCATATTTTTGTATTATTAGATGCACTTTTTGCCCTGTATCTTATAGCAAAAAGTTGGGGATGCGTCTTATAATCCGCTACGTGTGAGAGTGTGTGTGTGTGTGAAAGAGACCAGATATATATGTAACTTTATTGACAGCGGGCACAAGTTTTGGGTGGGACTTACATTCCGGAGTTCCTCGTAATCTGGAGAATACGTTAACGGAAAAAATAATGCCTATAACAACTCAAATTTGTTATTAACACTGCCCTATTATATATAGATATAAACTGTACAGTGATTCTCTGCCCTGCAGGTCTACTGCCCAAATTTTTGTTTCTGAGGCAGTGTTAACGATGAATGTGGCGAGTTTCATTCATATTTCTGCTTGTACACCATTGCCACCTGTTTTAGGAAAAAACAAAACGTGCGATGCATTTATTTTTATTCATCCAACCACGGGGGGGAGGGGGGATGTACAACTTCCGCGATAGGTGAGTGGTGCATAACGTAGCATTATGTGGTACGGTGCGTCAGATCCCTTTTCTTTGGGGAAGAAAGGGGGAAAAGGGAGGGGATCGGTCTCATTTCAAGTTCAGTCACGTAAACTCAGGGTCTCTGGAGTGACATTCACGAGCGGGCCGCAGATCTGGGTGACCTCCCCTGTTCCTCAGTTTCAATCTCGGGTTTTCTAAAGCTGCAAGGGCGAATGTGGAGTTATGCCAGAGGGTGAATGAGGAGGGCCCCATGATTCTTCCAGGAGCTCCATGCGATGCATTTCACGTGATATACAAATGCATTGCCAGTATTTCTCAGCAACAGCAGGCAAGATCTTACCCTCCACACTGTTTGATCTTTCGTTCAGTCCCACCATCCTGCAATCTTGGTCCATCTCCACACGTCATCTCGGGGCGTGTTCAAGTGGCTATTTTCAATTTCTCTTGAGAAGCACCGAGTGCATGATTAAGTGGAAACATAATCAGCAACAGATTACTCATCCTTCCAAAACTGGAGTTGTTTTGTCGTTTTTTTTTCCATCCAGGCCAGCTCAATTCTCAAGTCCCGTAACACTTCATTCTGTCAGAACTCACAAGGGCAGAACACGCTTTCTCACATAACACTTCTAACACCTTGCTCCATCCAGTCGCAGCGCAGGCAGGATTATATAATCACCCCAAGGATCTGACAACAGTACATAGACATATATAGCTCATGCATCGGCATGGATCGGACAGTGACCTGCCAAGGTCTGTTCTTTGGGGCAAAGTCGGTGGTGATGTTTAAAGAGAAAACATTGGTCGTGATATGTACGGACCTTTTTGCAGCCAAATAGTGGACGAAGGCCTCCCAAAACCTTTCAGTCGTGGGAATTTTTTCACCATATTTTACCATTCTGGTCAGCGCGGGCCTACGAAGAGAGTGAGCGGTTCGCTTCAGAAGTCACCCGCCGCTGACGTTAGCCGTGGCCGGCGCTCACGCTTGGGGCAGCATTTTATTTCTCTTACGTGTTAACAATGTTCGACTAGCGCGGGGATTTCTGTCCCTAAAATAAACGATTCAGCCCCCCTATCCGCACCCTCCCGCCGCAAGCTTCCCACGTAAAAAAAAATGTGTTTTGATTCAGGGTCGCATTGCAATTCAAGAATGGAATACTTTTTATTTTGGTTTCTTTTACATTTTGCTGAATATATAAGGAGCGCCCAGAGGTCATGGGATCCCATTTTATTCAACGGATACAAATCGAAAAAAAGAAGTTTTTTTACAAACGTGATGCGATGTATTTGTCATAGGATGAAGAATCGATGCATCAGTGCATCGTTGCAGCCCAACTCGAGCAGACCTCTACATTTGCAATGGAAACCGTGGCGGGAATTACTTTCAAATGCACACGTTTCACGTTGCCAGTGAACTATTTGGCAACGAGACGAATGCAGTGCGGTATGACCCATATTTATCTTGTATTTCAGCCACTCATTACAGAGTGTTTGTACAGTATTGAACATCAAACTGGCACCATGAGTTTTCTGCTGACTGAGGCATTTACAATTTCAAAGGCAGAGTGTATTATTTGACAATAAACCCAGGAAATCATGAGTTCAATTCTTATGAGTAAAATGATAGCTATGAGCACACGATGTTCACTGACAGCAAAACGGAAATAGCAATGGAAATTAATTTTCATTGTAAATAAGGTGTGCTATTTGCATATGCATAGTTATTTAATATTCTAAAATTTACAGCCACGGGTAGGAATATATTTTAAGTTTGGAATGTGTCAAGGAATATTGCAGTGATGTTTGTGTAACGATTACTGTAAAAAAATATAATGATTCTGAATGCGATTGCGATATAAACAAACGCTATATGCAACAAACTAAAAATTCGAACATTTAATATAAAACGAGCAAATATTAATTTCTTAAATATCACACTGCAAAGGGTGCACGAGTTGTAATGGTGAAACGAGGTCGTATCCAGCAACACGTCCTGAGATGTACCGTCACGTGCAGCTTAAAACTTGCGACATCCTGGAGGCGAAAAAAGTGTTACAATTCGACAAAAAGCGGCAGACATTCCAACTAATTTTGGCAGCTGCTTAGAAGATTCAAGTCTTGTTTACATCGCATTGTGACACAAGTGCTGGCGAGAGAGAGTTGGTTGGATCTTTATATATTTTTTCTTGTACAAAAATTATTTGAGTCAATAAAAACCAAAAGGAAAAGCCCAGTCGTGGTGTGAATTTGACTTGGAAAGTGGAAACTGCCACCGACTGATGGGCTTTGACGCCAAAAGAACGAGCACGTGACTGCACGGTAATGTTGCCAAA